AGGGCAACAACCTAGGAAGGCGGGGTGCTGCAGCAGCAGGAGCAGGAAGCAGGAGCAGGGCGATGCGACACGGAAACACGTCGGGGCCGGGCACCTGCGCCTGTCACTGTCAGGCAGGCAGGCGGAGCTGTGTCGAGGCTGTAAGCTAGGTAGGTAGGCAGCTTGGGAGAGGGACAAGGCTGCGCGTCGCGAAGGGGGATAAGGTCGTTTGGGCAGGTGGTCCGCAGGCGTAGCGGGTACTAACTTTGGGGGCAGCAGGTACGTGGGTAGGTACAGTAGGTAGGTGGGTGGGTAGGGCTGCACCGCTGCTGCTGCTGCTGCTGCACGGCCGGTGTACCGTACAGGACACAGCGCTCTGGTGCGACGTAACTGGGTATATCCACCCATCCATACCGCACACACACAGCAGCAGCAGCAAGCATGCACGCACGCACGCACACATGCAAGCACTTTACGTTGCGCCGCTGCGCCGTTGTGTCTGAGCTTCCTTGATGGAGGGGAAGGAGGGCCTGGCGACGCGCTAGGCACGCGCAGTCACATGCATGGCGTTGCGGACGCGTGGGCAGTGGGTTTTGTATTTTTGGACGCTGCTGCCTGGGATAGTACCTAAGGTATTATTAGGTGGGTAGGTATGAGTCACACACACATCGCAGCACGGACGGGTTGTTTCGGCGACGGCGACGACGGTGTAAGAGCGGCGGCTCGCGAAGGTGGACAGAAATGGTGATGATGGCGACGACGGTGATGGGCGGTGCCGGTGGTGGTGATGACGGGGGGCGTGCGCAGGCATCTACCTACCTACGTGCCTACGGACGGTCTGGGTAGGTAGGTAGGTACGAGGGAAAGAAAGGCTGTCGATGCCTGCTCTGCTATGTGCCCAGCGCTCTAGGCAGCAGGGAGGGGATGCGGGGCGCGAGGCGCGAGGCCCCGAGTGGGTGTGTGATGAGGGGAATGAGTGAGAGTGAGCGAGAAACGGATGGAAGGGGCGCGCGCCACGCCGGCTGCGCGCGGGTGCGGGGTGGATGGCGGGCGGAGAGGCGCGGATGGGCTGAAGGACGGAAGGAATGATGGATGAGTGGAGGGCGCCGAGTCAGATCGGGGTGCGGAAAATAGGTAGGTAATGACTGGATAGATGGATTGTTGGATGGTCGGATGGGAGCAATAATTAGGTACTGTAGGTCCAACACACGGCACGGCACGGCAGGGACGGGTAACTACGTCGCGGGCGGAAGAGTATGTATGTATGCACGCAGATGGGATGGGAGAGATGTTTCGAGGCGAAGAAGTAAAAAAAAAAGAGAGCTCTGGATTGTAGTGAATCAATCAATGGGGGTATCTCCGTCCGTGTCCGTGTCCTGCCTACATACCGACCGTCCTTCCTTCCTTCCTCCTACTACTAAGCGATTCCGTGTTTGCGTACATGCCATGCGTGTTTGCATGCTAGCTAGCTTGCGCCTCCGGGGTCGTCTGTCTGCTGTCTGCTGTCTGTCTGTCTCGTACAATAACAATCTAACTACTGGGTAAACGGCTCTAAGAGCGGGGTGGGTGACTGGTGATGATGAAGCGCGCATGCGGGGGTGCGTGATATGGGGTACGGGTATGGAAGGGTGATGGGTAAGGCTGTCTGTCTGTCGCTGCACGACCGGCCAGCGCCACTCGCCGTCGCAACGCATGGAATGCACCCGTACTCGCGTACGCGCGCATGCATGCGGGCTAGAACGGCGGGCGGCGGACGAGGCGAGGTAGCGTGACAGGGTGTGTGGAAGGGGGAAGAGGGTGCGTGAAGTGGAATCAGATCGTCGTGACGGTAGCGTGATGATCGTGCAACCAACCAAGCCGCGAGAACAAACAACCAAAAGAACGGGAAATCGACAATGGGGGTAGATAAATAGATGGATGATGAGAAAGGGGGAATAGAAGAAGAGAGAAGAAAGTAAGAGAGAGAGGAGAGAGCCCGTTCATTCCAATCGCGCCGCATCCCTGCCTTCCTGCTCGCCTGCCTGGCCTCCTGGCCTGCCAAGTGCCACACACACACAGATACACAACCTCCTTCCGCGACTGCCTGCTCGTCCCCCGATTGCCTATTACTCTCCGTGTAGGCTACACCTAGGCCTAGGCTGCCGTGAACGCCGTGCTAATGCCGCTTGTCGCAATCTTCGATGAATGATAAATGCTGCTGACCGGATCATGTGAATCGATAAAAGCATCCAAATGGGGTAAAAGGTAAGAATAAACGGAAAAGGAAGGCGTGACAAAAAAAAAAAAGTAGCGTCAGACCCGTCTCGTGACTAGGTAGTCGAGTCAACCGCCCTTGTTGGTGGTGGTGGTAGCCTGCTTCGAGAGCGCCTCGACCGCCGCCTCTAGCTTCTCCAACCGCGCGTCCTTCTCTTCGATCTCGCGCCGCAGTCGCTTAATCTCTGCGCGCAGGTCGTCTTCGTCTGCCTCGGCACCTGGCGCGTCGTCACCGTTGACTGCTGATGCCGCTACTGCGGCGACTGCTGCTCCTCCTTCGCCACCGCCTCCCCCGCCGACAACGTTGCACGTCGTTTTCCTCCTCTTGCCTGCTGCCGACGAGGCAGCAGTAGCGTGGTACGCATCGTCATGCTCTTGATCAGGCGACAGCCTTTCGCTGCCTTCTTCCTCGACGCGCACGCCCGCCGAGGCAGCGTCGGAAGCCGAGGCGCGGCGATGCACGCGGCGGATGTGCTCGGCGAGGTTCTCTTTGCGCGTGAAGCCGGCGCCCATGCTGCGCTTGCAGTCCTGGTGCGGGCAGAACAGCGCCTTCTTGGTGCCGCCGTGCATCTTGTGCACCTCGCGTTCGTGACGTAACAGGCCGCCCGAGTACGTGAAGCCTTGCAGCTTTTCGCAGCCCTTGTGGCGACACACGTACGGGCGATCGTGCTTGTCCATGTGTTTGCTGTCAAGGGAAAACATCAGTCAGCGTGATCTTTTGTTGTTGTGATGATGTGTTGAGATGATGAAGTGGACGTGGGGCGGGCAGCTGGCTTACCTCCATTCGCATTTTCTCTCAAAAGTTAAGCTGGAGCAGTCGGCGGAGAAGGTGCATATCATCTTGCCGTCGGAGTTGCGCGGAGGCTCCTCGGTGCGCTTGTGGATATATTTGCCACGCGGCGTGTAGTTGTCGTAGCGCTCCTCAGAAGATTCTCGATCCGAGTGCACGAGTTGCACGTGAGGGGCGGCGACGTTGACGGCGACGGACGGGTGGTCGGGAGCTTTGCGCTTGCGGGGGTTTTGCTGGTGCATGGTGCTGTCGCCGTTCATACTGATGGGGCTCGGAGGGATGGATTTGTAGTCGGAGGTGGTGGTGGTCATGACGGGGTGGTGGTGGTGGTGGACGAGGGTTTGGGTGGACATGGGAAAGGTTTGCGGATGGGGCGGCGCAGGATGAGGTGTTAGGTCTTCGACGATGAGCTGTGGCAGCAGATGAGGTGGCCAAGTCGGGATATTTGAGGGAAACAGGGCATCAAAGTCGTCGCGGGTGGCGATGCCTGATTGGTAAGGCCACAGGCGGGACAGGGCTTGGGTCGTTTGGGTTTGGGCGCCAGACGCGTCGGACCACGCGTTGACCTTATACTCGTGCGAAGTCTGGCGGCTGCGGGGGGACAAAGTGGGACGAAGGCTGTCGCATGTCGCTGCTGGTGCCGATGACTCAAGCTGCGCGACCGCGACCTCAACCTGCCGGAGCGACGGCGGCTGCTGCTGGGCCTGGCGGCTGTGCTGGCTGTGCTGCTGCCGGTGTGGCGCAGTAGTATTCTGCTGCACGTGACCGCCAAGTAGCGTGCGTCCGTATGTCGCGTCTGCCACTCATCAGCACTGCCACTCGCTTTCCCCGACTCATTCGTCATCGCACTCACACTCGTCCTCCCTCGGCATGGGCCACCCGAAATTCCCGAGCCAGCTTGCGCGCATCTTCGCTTGCTGCTCGTAAAACATCCAGCAAACTCCCCACAGCACTGCCAGCGACGGCCGCACATTCGCCCACGGCCATGTCGTGCTCACCGGTCGCTGGCCGCCCGCAAACTCGCTGAACCTGCCCAACACCTTGCGCCTGCACCGCTCCAGCCCGCTAGGTCGACGACCACGCCGCACCACGGCCGACAAGGCCTGCCCCAGGGCGTGCTGGATCACCACCAGCAGGTGTTGCAGGTTGCTGACAAAGGTCGATGCGACGTCGTGGCTCCGTCGCAGCCCGTGCAACAGGTTGTCCAGCCGGGCGATAGCGCGCCTTGCTAAGCCTAGCGCCGCCCAAGACAAGTGCAAGTCGACCGTTGGCAACAACGGCAAGTGCAACGCTGCCAGGAACAGGCCGTCGTCTGCAGCGAGCTTGCTCGGGCTCGCTGCCAGGATCCCGTCGAACCTTCTGTCGACGTCACGGACGAGCCTGCGTGTGCCCCGTGAGTCCGTGACACGATCATGTAGGGGTCGAGCACACCTTACTTCTCTAACCCGCTCCCGGAGCGAGCCGAACCATCCCTCCCATCCCCAACCGCTGCGCTATGATGATGCTGCCATGGCTTCTCCGCCTCACTTGGCGACAGGCTCGGTAGCGTGGGCTCTTGGGCCGGTATACGCGTCGTTCTGCACCGATGCCCAAGTCGATTGGCGAGTCGCTGCCGACATCCGCTCGTTCCAAGCTGAACCGCCTCCATAAGAGTCAGACTGTGAGAGCAGGTGAAAAAGTCGAGGGCTGTTGAACGCGCGGAAATCGTGGCGAGGTACGGATTATAACATGCCGCGCGGCCGTTTCTCTCTTTGCGCTGCTGCACCTGTCCGGCTGAAAGCTGCCTCGAGGCATACTCCAGTTTCCTTCTGCTGGCGACCGGTCAGCCATTGCGCGGTGCTGATAGGCCTGTCGCGCAGGGAGCTGTGGCACCCTTGGTGAGGCGCAGTAACCCCCTCAGGCAGCCCTGAGGCGGAGCATTCCTAACCACCATGTCGTCCAATCCCATCGCGCCAGCCCAAAACCGGTTTGCGTGGCTGCCTGGACATCCCGGTAACAAGGCGAACACCTTTCCTCATGCTGCTTTGATGCCCCACCAGATTCGTCTTCCTATCGTACAAGCTCCGTTTTCCGATTGGCTGCCTCAAGTATACCACCCCGTGCGCGTCTGAGCCTATTTGCACCGCTTTCGTGTTTCGTGTGTGTCGAACATTGTGACACGTTGATGCTTTAGAGAGGTCTTCAGCTCGACCTGAAGGACATGCATGGATGATACACCGCTTGTCCACGTCCAGTGAGAAGCGTTACTGATTGGTTACCAGAGCTAAATCCGTGGAATTCGCCTTGTCTTCTATCTTGTTTGCCTATGAATCTATCCGGTGTCAGGCGGATCACCACACCTGCAAGGAAGAGTGCAGCCTTTTAATGATGCACCGGTTTACGCAGTTATGTGGACTTCGATCGAGCTCTCCAAAGTATGCCGTATTAACATGTTGCGATAACTCACTGTACAGTGAACTGGTATACGCCTGAACGTCGCCTCCAAGACAAGAGTTGTTGCTGTTGTCTTGACCGAGTAATGCGTATACTTGATAAACAATGTTTTCTCTTCGTTTTTCTCAGTTCGCTTTAAACGGTTAAAACTGGTCCGTCACCGTCAAGCGAGATTCGCCGTCTAGTAAGGCAGGGTTGTACCCAGATAAGGAGCACTCTGTAGGGACTGCTTTCAGCTTTCCTTAAGTCGTAGGTATGTATAGGCGGAAAAGTCCTAGAGCATACACATACTGATTTATCTTAACTGGATACCTTCTCCTACTCCGTGCAATCATCACCATTTCGCAAAACGATAAATCTCGCTTCACGACGATGGGCGTTAAAAGCTGCGTGCGGTGTGATGCTCGCCCTTCCGAAGGCGTGCTTCGTTCCTTCCTTTTCAAACCAACTACCGAAAACGTGCTTCTCGAGCTCAACCCAAGAGACTTTCACCATTCATACGCGACATCCCAACGTCAGCCGTGCCATCCTCCGGCCCAAACCGAGACCGCTTATTCCAGTCAACGCATTGCTCGTTCATTTCAGCCGACATCTCCTAGCGACAAGTTCGGCAGGTCTCACGCAACTGTATTCCTACCCGGTCACAGCGCAGCGCACCCCACTGTCACCGAAGAAGCCCGTCCGTCTAGCTTTCCACAGCACGCTTCTCGACATGTGCGCATCACGCTACGACCTCAGGCAAAGGCCAGCCGCCGGGGGGCGCGACGAAGACGAGTCACCAGAGCGGCGGAAGCGGAAGCGGATCAGTCCAGAGCGGATCAGGCCGGGGTCGTCTGAGGCGGAGATGCCACCGCGAGGGTGGGCTAAAAGGAAGAAAAAGACAGAGAAAGATTCTCCTTCTCGGGGACGACCAGGACGAGAACAAAGCCCTAGTGAGTCGGGCTACAATACCGACGAGTCCACAAGGAACCCCGAAATCGACGATGAGGAATCCAGCAGCGAGGACAGTGACGCCGAGTCATCGTCTAGCGATGAGGAAAGGGAACCTGGCGGCTCTGATGGGGAAGGGTCGGATGATGAAGACGGCGGCGCTGGCGGTACTGCGGGTGGCGGGAATCCGTCGACCCAGCCACCGACGCCCGACTTGACTGGCCCTTCTTCTCAGGAGTACATTCTTTGCATTTGGACGTGTGGTGGAGTTGACCTTGTGCTGACGTTGGGGTTTCAGGGAGCCTGGAGTCTCGTCTTGCCCTCCAACGCCGTCTGGAGAAGTGCCATTGCATTTGCTGGCGGATTCTCGGGAATGGCCGTCAACTACTTCGGCGGCTGATTTGACGGAGCTGGCTTATGGAAGAGAGGGTAGCGGACAGAATGCTGCACTGCAAGCCACTGCAATGATCGAGGCCAGAAGTCCGTCTGGTTCTCAATCCTCCGCAATGTCTATCAGCAATGGGCCCTCAGTACCGGAGCACACCTCCCCTAATCAAGAAAACTCTCTTTATCACACCACCGCAATACCTTCAGCACGCACTATCCCCAGCAACCGCCACCCGCTCCTCACGCGCCTTATGCGCAAACACAAGGCGCTGCTCACGCGAATCTCTTACCTAAACACACGCATAGTCAACGCCGCGTCGCTCCGGCAGCACTCCGCATTCAACAAGAACGCGCAATACGTAGCATGGCGCAAATGGGAGCGACGCGCGGCGGGGCTCTATAGCGTTCTCGAAGACGACCGAGACAACAAAACACTCACCACGACGCCAAAATGGCGACTTAAAGCCTTCGTGCTGCGCAGAGACAGGGCGTGGATGCGGGACGAGCGGCTCGCGGCGCTCGAGCAGAAAGCAGGCGACCGCGTCGGCGAGACGCACTGGCGGCTGCTGGACGCGTGGGACCGGCTCGAGCGGTGCGAGATCGAGCGGCAAGCGCTCGACCCGGGTCCGCTGGTCGGAGAGTACTGGGCGCAAGCGAAGGCGCTGCACGCGCTGGAGGAGCGGCGGAGGAAGTATTGGGCCGAGACGCATGCGTTGCTGCAGGGTAGGTGGGTGGATGGGAAGTGGGTGACGGGGGAGTGGCCGACGGTTATAAGCGAAGAGATGCAGATGGCGGAGCTGCGGCGGCAGCTGGTCGTTCATGATGGCGCGGGCGGTGAGCATGGCCATGGCGTGGACTACGCCTTGGCTGCGGCGGTGATGGCGGCTGTGGATGGTGTTGTCGAGACTGTGGACGACGCAGAGTTGAGTCAGGTTATTCATTGTATGCACTAGACGCAGGGTTAAAAATGCTGCGTTTGTTTTGATGTGTTCGTTTTGAAGATGCTGGTGCTTGTTTGGTCTTAATTATGCTGATGAATTTACGAGTGACCGGGGAACTTATACACAGTAAAAGCGCCCTAATCTCACAAGACGATAAATCTCACTTGATAGTAACGTGACGGATATCAAGTAAACAACCAGAGTAAAATAACACTCACTATAAACTAAACCCCTACATAATCAAACGAAACCAAAAACAAACAACTAAACCAAACCCCAACGACCAAAGAAAAGAAAAGTTAAAACGACCGAGTAAAGAAAAAAAGAAAGAAAGAAAAGAAAGAAAAGAAACTACGCTACATTACTGCCCACGAACCACACCCCCCAAACTCAACATGCCCTCAGCACCACCACTACCCAGCGGCGACCCCAGCGGCGAGCCCACCCGCCTTGGCGAGCCCAACTGCCCGCTGCTCAAGCTGCGCTGCAACACGGCGTAGTTGCTGCTCGAGCGCCTGGCATAGCCGGCGCCACTACCGAGCCGCAGACCCGGCCTATTCTTCGCCTTACCATCAGCTCCAGCTCCAGCAGTGTTCTGCACCGCGTTGTCGTCCACGAGCCCCGCAATGCCAGCAATGCCCTCCTTGTCCACAAAGCCAAAGCTCGTTGGCCGCTCCCACAGGCCCTGGCCATCATCTTCCTTTTCCGGCAGCGGCGCCCAGGTCTGCACATCCAGCAGCTTCCGCACCTTATCAGCCTTGCAGGCATCAAACCCGGCAAAACGGCGCGCCACCGCGTCCAGCAATTCCGCGTACGCGCTCTTCTTGTCCGGCGCGCCCTGGCCACGCGCAGCAGCACGGCCCCACGCCCTGCGCAGCGCTTCCATTTCCCTGCACGCCACTGCAGCGGCGCCGTCCAGCCCGGCGCACGCCTCAGCGACCTCGGTCTCCGCGTCCCAGGCCAGGCGGCCCAGCGCCGCGGCGTGTAGGGCTGCGGCGCGGTCGTGCTTGCCGCGAGACGCCAGCATAGCGGCTTCGAGGCGCAGGGCAGCGAGGGCGGGGGGCGCGAGCGGCCCGTGGATGCGCGCGAGGTTGTAGTGCAGGGTTTGGGCGAGGTGGAGGGCGGAGGTGGTGGAGGCGGGGGTGGCGAGGGCGAAGCGGGCGTGGATGAGGGCGAGGAGGAGCGAGAGGTGGTGCTTGCTTGACGAGGTGGAGGGGGACGAGTGCAGGGCTGTGAGGACGTGGTCGAGGTCTGCGAAGTTGGCTTGGGCGCCCAGGGTCGCGGCGAGGGCGGAGGCGTCTTTGATGTCGAGGAGGGTGGCGAAGGAGAGGTTGGTCTGGCGCGCGGCTTCGAGGGCTTCGCGCAGGATGAGGGCCGAAAGCTGCATCATTTGCGCGTGGCGCTTCTCCTCTGGACACGGCTTCGCGCCGACGCGGCCCGCGAGGTAGAGGCCGAGGCGCAGACCGGAGAGCACGTCTGCTTGTGTCGCAAAGCCGCCTTGGACGTGGACGAGACGGTGGACGAGGACGCCCAGCTCGTGCGCGGCGTGGAAGCGGTCGGCGCGCGTGTGTTCGGCCACTGTGTCGACGGTGCGGGAAAGGATGGTGGTCCACGTCTCTTCGTCCGAGAGGAGCGAGAGCACGAGGGTGAAGAGGGCATGGTAGGCCTGTCCGTCGACTTCCTGGGAGCCCACGGCCTTGCGAAATGTGGCCAAGAGCTCTTCTTCCACTTGCTTGGCCTCGTCGCCATGGTCCGCCTCAATCAGCACAAGCCGAAGTCGCGCTCCTCGCTCCAGCACACCCATGATGCCCCGCTGCTGCACTTCGGTCTTGCTGACGTGGAACCACGCCTCGTACAGCAATATCTCGCTGCGGAGCTCGGCCATGATGGCCGTGAAGCTGCGCGAGCCGCCCAGGAGGACTTCAGCAAAGGCGGCGAAGAAGGTGCGCTGTGTCGTCTTGACCGTCTTGCCAGCGCGCGCCTCGTCGATGATGATGCACCGCAGCTCCTGCATCAATGTGAGGGCATGACTCTCCAGACCATGCGCGACGTAGGTGCTCGCGAGGGCCTGCGCCGCGGCGATGAGGCGCTCCGAGTGGTGCGTCTCCTGCTTGAAGACGCCAAAGACGGCCGTCTGCAGTGTCGAGGTGGCTTTGGCGGTTGCTTCGGTCGTATTTTGCTGCGTGTACGTGTGCACGAGCTGGTGCAGAAGGGAGAGTGTCTCGGTGGCAGTGTAGCCGCGCTCCGTCCTTGAGGCTTCGTACTGCGATGCGTACAGCGAGACGGCGCGCTCGATGGTGCTGCTCTTGGAGGCGTACATCTGCGCGAGGCGCTGCGTCGCCTGCGCAACTTGCCTGTGCGTTAAAACAGTCGTCGTGGTCGAAGTCTTCGAGATCGTCTTGCTCTGCTTCAGCACCTCCTCGTACAGCTCCACAGACTGCTGGTAGCTCTCTTCGCTCCTTTCACAAATCTGCGCCAGCCTCACTGTAGCCGTGAGCGTCTGCGCGCTCTCCGCGCCATACAAGCTCACGCACGTCTCGCGGTACTCGCTCGCCAGCCGGTGCGTCACCACAGACTCTGCCTTGACCTTATGCTCCAAGACATGCATGTAGCGCTCGTAGACGCGCTCAGCAAACGCCGCTTGCAGCTTGTACGACTTGCCGTGTTGGCGGAACGTCTGCCACAAACAGGCGTACACCTCCCTCGCGGCAGCCCACCCGCCGCGCTGCTCGTGCAGCTCGCACAAAACAAGCGCCGCTTCAATGCCTTCGACGCGGCAGGTGCCGTCTTGGGCCTGGTACGCAGAGTAAACGGCTTGGTACGCCTCCTCCGCTTCCTTCAGCTTGCCGAGGCGACGCGCGAGTGTGCCATATGCGACAAATGTCTCGATGGTCAGGGTGTGTGATTTACCCAAGCGGCGTTGCAAGCAGGCAGCAAAGTCACGGTAAGTCGCGAGGGCGAGCTCGTAGCGGAACGTCCGCTCATGGAAGGCGATGACCTCGCGAGCCGTGCGCACCAGCAGCTGCTGGTCATAATCGAAGTGCGCGAGCGTGGCGAAGACGTTGCGGTAGATGGCCTCGGCCTTGTCGACCCGCAGCTGCTTGAAGTGGCACTCGGCGAGGCTCATGGCAGTCTGGATGACCTCTTCCGAGTGCTGCGTCGTCAACTCAGTGGCCGAGGCACTCTCCACCGACGACCAAGTCTGGCTGAGGGCTTTGGAGTACACTTCCAAGGCCTCAGACCAGCGCTCCTGCTTGACATAGCTGGTCGCGAGGGCTGTGCACGTCTTGATGGTCGCTGTAGAGACGGAGAGGCTTGATGACTTGCTGCTGGCGGAGACGGAGAGCGTTGATTCGAAAACCTCGCGCAGCACCGTCTCCTCTTCGACAGTGAGAAGCTCCGTGGTGGTGGTTGTCGTCTTCTCGGTCGTAGTCGTGATCGTCTCGGTGACTGTCTCAGCGAGGGACGTGGCAATCTCGACCGCAATAGCAGACGACTGCTCCGTCTCCTTGCAGTGCTTCCAAAGCGAGGTGAAGATCGACCGGGCCATGCTAAAAACCTTGAGCGACTTGAACTCCTCCGCAATCGACTTGATGCGCCGCGTGATCGACTCCGTGTGCTTTGTCTTCTGGTACGCCGCAACTTCGGTCCAGACGGCGCGCATGATGACCTCGGCCTCGTCGCGGCGGGAGTGTCGCGTGAGGAAGCGGGAGTATTCAATCGCGACGTCGACTCTGGTCTCGATTGCGGTTGAGGACGATGTGCTCGTCGTGATGCTCCGCCAGTAACTGACGAGGATTTCTTCCGCCTTGGTGACCTCGCGGCGTCCCTCGTACATCCGGACGAGGGTCAGGGTCGACTTGATGCGTCGCTCATCCGTTATAGCGAGGGTCTTGACGACGTGCTCGTGATAAGACAGATGAATCGAGAGGATAACGTCAAGCTTGGAAAGAGCCTTAAGCCGCGCCATGAGGACTTCATACAGTGCTTCCGTTTCCTTGTGGAAGTAGCCGTGGCGCTCAATGGTTACCTCGTATAGCTCCCGGTAAAGCACGACGGCTTCTTCAACCTTTTGGACCGACACGTAGAGCTCGGCGAGCAGCTTGGTGTATTTGATCGTGAGGTCGTGAGATGCTCCATGGGTATGCCTGTGCGCAGTGATTATGAATTTGAGGACTTCTTCCCTTTGCTCGACAAGCTTCGTGCGTTTGGTAACGGCGGTGGAAGTTGTCGAAGCAATGAAAGCTTCCGCGCACACCACGACGATCGCGATGTCGCCACTGGTCTGGCTGATCCTCCAGGCGTCATAGGCGAACTCGGCAGTTTTAACGGAATTAATCGCCTGGTAGACCTGGATCACGTAGAGGAGGCTCTGGAGGCTTGCTGAGGCACTCTCACCCAAGACGGCTTTGCGGAGTTTGTATGCGATGAGCGAGTACGTCTCCATCTCCCTGCTGGTGAAGCGCAGTTGCAAGCAGACTTGCTCGAGCATTGCCAAAAGCACCGAGCTGGGGAAGCAGCTCTTCAGCTTTGGAGACACCTGGACTTCGCCGTTCGTCTGGTAGAAAGCAGATGCCTTCATGTGCGTCGTCCAGTACATGGTGCAGTACTCCAGCATCTGATACTGCTTGAACAGGTCGTAAACGTCATGCACAGCAAGTTGCTTGAACGACACGTCAAAATTCTTGTGTACATGAATCTTGACGTAAGCCAGACAACCGAGAGCAAGACTACTCTGTGCCCTTCGCATGTCGAAATGAAACTTGTCCGTTTTGCACTTGCTAAGATGGTGACGCATGCTTGAGTGGCGCAAGCTCACAAAGCCGTCTTGTACGGTGACAAGTGATCCACAAGCCCGACGAACGACATCGGAGATGTTCCCGTATCTCGGCGAGTGACGACAGTGATTAGTGTCGATTTCCAACAAATGCTTTATCTCCTGGAGGGCAAGGGGGCGCTCAGCAGCTATGATCCAGGAAAGGATAGCTCTTGTCTCTGAACGCTCGAGCTGGAGCTTGTGCAGGTCATAGTCGTAGAACCCTTCAACACTCTTTGGGGCTTTGTCGAGGTACTGCATAAAGCCAGAGAAAGTCTCCTCGTGTTTCAAAGAGCGGAAGGCAAGAGCAGCCCATAGGAATGACCCATTGGACTTCTCAGATACTTTGTGGGCAACAGCTTCCTTGTCTTTGTGGCTCATTGCCTCAAAGAAGCTCGATGAATCCAAGTTGTTCGTGATGAAGCGCTGAATGTCTTCGGAGACGTTGCTGTTCTTAATCGCTACATGTCGTGTGAGTGAGGGCGCAGCTTTCTGCAAAGGTTGGCTCAGCACAATGGCTTTGCAATCAGTATTTCCTTCTTTGACGGTAAGCTGATGAAGACGCTCGAGGATTGCAAGAGCGCTGGTCTGGCCTCCCGACAACTGGTCGAGGCCATCCACGACAAACATCAGCTTCGCGTGTTGCGCGACATGCTCCAAAGCGTGCCACAGCGTGTCCTCGACTTCCTTGGCGCTTTTGCCTGTTGTAGAGAGCTCAATGGCTTGACGAATGTGGACAAGAAGCGCTTCATGGCCGATGCGTGTGTCGAATGTCTGCAACAAGAGGCCTTTGACAACATTCAAAGCAGAAGTTGTGGAAGGGATGTCCCGTTCCACGCGGTAGTAGATGACATCATATGGGCTCTGGTCAATGGAGCTTTGCAACTGCTCCACGATCCAACCAGCAAGCATACTCTTGCCGCAGCCGGGGCCACCAGTGATAAGTAGGATGTTGTTCCTCTTCCAGGTAAAGTCCCAGAGATCGTCAAGGAACCACTCAAAGGTGAATTCGGTCCTGGAGGTGCTGGAGGACGCTCTTGAAGCGATGATCTTGCAAACGGAATGATCTGCGGGTTCCAGGAACCTTCGTATCTCACCGATGTCGAAGTTGTTCTCTACAACATGGTCAGCGACTTGCACGGCTCCAAGGAGCCTACCACTCACCTTCATCGAAGCCTTGCAGATGAGCAGTCCACATCGCATCTGAAACGCGATCCCTATGTGCGTAGAAAGCAGCCACGAGCTTTTCGAAATGTTCGGCAAAGTCATCGCAGCTAATCTGCGTGGTTCCTGTAGAGGTTGTTAGCCATAGCCGTTACATAGCTTCGCTAGGTAAATTATGTACCGTGACTCTTACTGAGGTAGTGCGCACCCACAGCACAGGTCAACTCGACCAGGTCCGAATAGGCATGGGCAAGCTCCCGTCTAATCTCAGCCGTAGCAGTGATTAGGTTCTCTTGGCGGAGAAACAAGGAGATGGACAGGCCAAGTTGGTGGAAAACGCTGAAGGACTTGGTCAGGACAGTAGCCTGGCGAGGTCCCATCTGCAAAAGAGCGAGGACGCTGCTCCAGATCATCTTGGTCGCATCTTCGCTATGAAGCATAAAGCCGCTAACGGCATCATGGAAGATGTAGACGTATCCCGCGAAGCCTTCTGCCCATCGAAGAACCTTGTCCCATTGGCTGCCGTCGTGTGGCATGAAGCGAAGACGCTCAGCGGCAAGAGCATCGAGAAAGTCGTCGAACGTTGCGATGCTATCAAGAAGCCCAGAAGAGCTTCCAAGCCTAGCCTGTACGGTCGTCGAGGTGCGGATGGTGCGCTCTCGAAGGATGTTGGTCTTCGGGAGGTGGTACATAGTCGTGTTGAATTCTGCCATCGCCGTAGACGTATTGGATGTAGACGTGCTGGAGGTTATAACCTCTTTTGTGGTATGCGTGCCATTGCTGCTGTGGGACAAGCTGTGGGACACGCCGTTGGATACACTGTTGGCCTTTGGAGCTTTAACGGCAAGGTCAGGGGCCGCAGTCTGCTGGACAGGAGTCTTCGCAGTGTCCGTCATTTTGTTGCTAGATGTTGTGTCAGAGAGGAAAGAAACTGGAAGGTCAGAGGACGGTCATGGCCACAAGGGGATATAATGGAAACTCACAAGCCTGACTTCTGGCGGTTCCCAAGCCTAGCATGCGGTACACACTTTGAGAAACAGACAGTGAAACACCTGCGGGATATATCAAGGAGAGTCCTCGCGATGCCCATGCAATAGTGTGTTGCTTTGAAGAACAGGTAGACCGCAAGGCTTCCGGGAATTATATAGCCATCAAGTACCTACAGGCAGGGAGTCAAGACCTGAGATGTCGATCAGCCAGCTCGAAGTTAATTTCGTAGAAACCCAATCCCGCTAAAAGAAGAAGCCATGTGTGAAGAATTGTCGGCGGTTCCGATGGCTCAGGTGGCTTCGAAGCACAGTCTCGAACACCTGTAGCCATGTTTCTGGAGGGATCACCCTGACGGCTTCGCCGTTCATTACCACAAAGACGAAGACGAAGAACCTTCGGCGTCACACTGGCTTGAAGCTCGTATACGCTCAGCCTTCTGGTCAATCAATTTGATGGGTCGTACCTGCGGACTGGGTACTCCCACCACCCGGATGGGTAACAATGGAGCTTCTACCTCGCGGAAGTTCCCGTTGGCTGAACTGGGTCAAGGTGGCCGTTAGATGTTCTGCTCGTGGCCTTCACATGGCTCTCGGTGACACCGCTCAAGCATTGGGGCAGGAAAAGCCTCCGTCTGCACTGTACAGGGGGGTTCGATAGGCCTAACCCAAAGAGAGCCATTGCCAGGGCTGGCTGAGAGACGCCAGCGTGATGAGACAAAAGTGGCTTTGAGCATCAGCTGCGAACATGTGAGTGGTGAATGGCAGGCTGTGGAACATGGTTGCAGTCGCGTATTTGCTTTATTTGATTATATTTGCATCAAGCCGACCCAAAAGGTTCATGGAAAGCTGAGGCCGGGCGAAACGAGAAGGTGGGTAGAGGCGTCGTTTGCAATATTGAGGCTGGCTGAGCGACGGTACGCGCATGGGTATGCCCGTCGATTAAGCGGCTGCGCCCGTCCACACGCAGTAGGCCGGTTGTGCCGGGATTGGTCGGTGGTTGATGGTTGAGTGGAGAGTGAAGAGTGGAGGGAGGCCCGCAGCTCCGGTTCCCACCTTCCCCGCCTTTGCTGACTGCGCAAGCGAGACTTGTGGCTTGGACCCGCCCGAGCTGAATTCCCTCGCTCTGCCATCAACATTCGCTCTCCTCCCCATCCTCGCAAGGTCTTCTGATGCAGGATCAACCTTGCGACATGTTAGTATGTGGATCATATGATGGAGTGCTTGTCCTCTACCCGTCAACCCCGCGCCATTTCGATTCCGATTGGAATCCTGGGCAAATTCCTACTTCCGGGTCTGAGAGGAGCTTCTTTCGAAATCTGTGCCATTCGACGAGCAAGCCTGTCGCTCTTATCTGCGAACCGCCTGCGAGACCGGCCCCGCTTGCTCCGACTGGGCATCCGCCATCAAGCATCGCTGCCCCGGTCTGTGGAACTGGCTCTCAAAGCAGATCAAGGATCACGATGGCCAGTACGTCAGTGTGGACTGCATGACAGGTGCATAGTATTTGTCTTTACTTGCAAAGCTTTCCTGGTAGGAGATGCGGATGGATTCCTAGGCACTCGTGGATTGGCACGTACTGTGAACTTAAATACTTCGCCGGCCATCTGCAGTTGAACACCGACGCCATGAAGTCTACCAGCCTTGCTTGGCTTTTCCACTCGAGTGGGGAGAACTCCATGTAAGCTGATCAGAGTTTGTGGCTTCGGTGTGTCTCAAATGCTCAGTTTCTTCTCCTTTAATTTGTTGACTACATCCTGAATATTCATACGGTTGGTTGCAAATAATCGTATCTGTTCACCTTGCTGTCCTCTCGAGGCGGTCCAGTGGAGTCATGAAGCGTAATGGTGGCTTTCCGTCATCTTCATCAACACCTCTGCCCCGCTTGTACAGACTACAGTTTGATCGACTGCATCAAATTTTGCGCTGCGAAGTTCCGCATACAAAGTTAAAGCTGTGTTACAAGGTTCTGTTAAGTCGTGGTTATACCATTCTATGCCTGGGAGCCTATGAATGTTGATGGGATCAATTTGACATATAAGCGATCGCAGGGTGCCCGAAGGCCTCGTCAGCACTCTCAAATTCCAAATACCGAGACTCACAACTAACTTTGCATAACAATGCGGTTCCAAGGCTGCTCTCGCTTTTTTGTTGGGTCGTGACTGCACTTGGTGATGGTTTGTTCACTTACATAGCGCTCCACAATACCTAAGCTAAAGCACTTTCAGCTGTTTCATTCGAGCGACTCAATGTCAGCGATGCAGTACGTGCTCCTGACTATGAGGGCCAATCATTCACTTACTCTCTTGTAGGCCCTCCTTATCCTCGACTTGCAAGTAGGCCTCTACCACCTCGCCCGAGACTTCGACCCGACATTGTATCGAAACAACATGCTCGCGCACGCCGCACTCGATCAACTCTTCGACATCCCCGTGATCATGACCACCTCCGCCCAAACTGATGAGCCTTGTTCTATCCTTCAAATCCAAGCACAACACTCATCTTTCCACCAGGGCCAAACGGACCACTCCCCAAAGAGATTCTCGAGATGTACCCCACAGCACCGCTCATCCAACGACAAGGCGAAGTCAACGCCTGGGACAATGCCGACTTTCGCGCCGCAGTCCGCGCGACCGGGCGCAACCAGCTGATCATGGCGGGCATCGTGACGGACGTATGCACGGCGTGTCTGGCGCTGTCGCTGCGGGCCGAAGGGTACAGCGTGTGGGCAAACGTGGAGGCATCAGGGACGACGACGCCGCTGATCAGAGGCGTGTCGAATGCGCGTATGCAGGCCGCGGGCGTGCAGCTTGTGAGTCTGTTCAGTATTGTGTGCGATCTCATGCGCGACTGGCGGAACCCTCCGGGTTCGGCGGGCGTGCTGTCGTTTTTGGAACGCTGGTATCCTACTTATGCGTATTTGGCGAAGGCGCATGGCACGGCGGCTGAGAATGGGACGCTTGTTGCTGGTGAGGAGGTTTTGCTTGCGGAGAGTTGAGCTTTTGGTGGAGATGACACTGAATTTGTGATTGGCTGGGTAGGGTGTGACTTCACTTGGCAGTGATTTGAGACTCCTTGGCCTACTTGTCTTTTATCGCGTCTGTTTCCATGATTCAGGAGAGCTTGCTTGAGGACCTAAGTAAAAGCTTCACGTTTTCGGTCGAAACACATCTAACAACCGTTCACTGTAGCACAACAGTAAAATCCAAGATTAGTTTTGTATGGCTGTCGCCATGAAGTTTTCATTGTCCATCTAACTGCTCATCAGTTTCTAATGTTCACCCAACTCTAAGCTCTTAAAGCTTTCATTGCACCTCCAATTGCCAAGTCTAATGTACCGTCTGCCAATTTCTAAGCTTCTTCTGTTGGCCGAGCTATTCAGACATAACTCCAGGGTCCGACAGACCGCACATAGCCAGCATAACGTCATCAGTCTTGGGATCGTTAAGCACATCGCTGATGTATCCAACAAAACCCTCACCCAGCTTCTTCCAGGCGAAAGGCGTCACATTGTACTTCATGTTCAGTTCCGGGGAGTCCTGCTTCAAGGCGATGTAGAGCATAGCCTGATGATCGACACTCTTGAGATGCACACCCGAGACTTGGAACGTCAAATAGTGAAGGACAGACTCAGGGTTCTTGACAGATCCGTAACGCGCTTGGACGGTTGAGCGGTAGAAGTTCTCCGCCTTCCAGTTGAGTCCGAGGGCACCGAAGAACTTGTCCATCTCCGTGAAGTTGGCCCAAGTGCTGAAGCGACTGCCCAGAATTAGCGTTCCGCCGCCCTTGACGTACTCGTACAGCTTGAAGATAAGAGTCTGGTTCTCTGCGAAGGTGACGGCAGGGTCAGTGACGACGATGATGTGGGGGCGGTCATTCATGATGGAGTTTATGGCTGTGTCGAGATCTTTGGCGCATTCGACGTGGCATCGACCGGTGAGTAGGTCATCGATGTGGTCGTCGGTATAGCCGTAGAGCGAGAGAAGCAGGACGCGAGTCTCTGTGTCTGGAATATCGGGGATATTCATGGTTGAGGGAATGATCGGAATTGTTGTTGGTGAAGTTAGGAGAAGGTTGGATGGTCCACTATGGGGGGAGAATTTATACCTGCTAGTGCATGATGACGGTGTGAGTGTTAGTGATGTGTGAGTGTTAGCGATATGTGAGTGTTAATGATGTAAAGGATGTGAAGTGATGTGAATTGAATCTTTGCCCATCGGAGTTGCAGTTGCGGCAAAAAACGCATTCGCTTAACGCTTGTACCTTTGTGTTCAATTCAAGTTTCTGTGTTAAGAGCTTATGCTCGTTTCGTTACAGATATGTTTTCGCAGTCGAAGAATGGAAATGTTCAGGGAAGCTTCTTTCTGTAGTTTCTGATGGTTCACCCATCCCCTCTAGATGTCTTACACACACCCCGTAATAATGCAACTGTAAGAATATACAATTCACTTTATACTCCTAGATATCTTACTTCCATATATGGTCACAAATATCTTTGGACCCTCTAACGAATTTTATTCTTATAACGCTATCGAGTATTTTAGTACTTCCATACATTTATATCTTCGTATACTTTTAAATACTTATAGATTCATATATTCATATCTTTCTAAATACTTTTATACCTCGCACTATTTTACCATTATTTAGGCACCTAGAGACTAATAGCTGTGGCGTAAATATCTATATTAGCTACCTAAAGAGTACTCTATGGGTATAACAGACTCTGCCTACCCCTTTCGGATGGTTTACCCACCTCTTAACTATATATTAGGCAAACTATTCGGGCCCTTGCCTATTAAGTACCGATATCTACGACATCCTTTATTCGTTTCAAACAATGCACGACTATGATAGCACTGGAATACAATACCATTACTCTGGTTCCTAAGCATCAGCCTCCTCCTCCGCATCAAAATAATACTCCTCCGTATACTGCTGGTTGGCTAAGTCCATCATTAGCTTCTTCCTACAGAACCGGACAAGCCTTACTCACCCCATGGTGGAAACTTGGTAAGCTCAGCGTAGTTCTTGGCCTTATACAGCTCCATAGCCCTCTTGTAGTCCTTCCTCGGCATATAGATGACCCACACCTTGCCATTGTCGTCGGTAAAGGTCATCTGGTTTGGGTACATACATTTGATGGGTTTAGATGGATTTCCTGGTGGTGCTGAGGCAGTATTGTTGCCGGCTTGGTTGGTGGTTTCTGACATATTTTGCGCAAGTGGCGATTTTAGAGATTAGAAGTTCTAATGGAAATAAGCGAGGCTATCTCCCTTCGATGGGTTTGGTCTCGAAGGTGGATAGAACAAACACAGTTGAAGATGCTGCTTGAAGGCGATGAGCTGGCTATGAAGTTGTGCGGCATATAGTAAGCAAGTGAGCACAGACCTTGAGTCACCTGAAGACAGGCTGTTGCCTAAATCACATGTTTTGCCAGGCATGAATTTCTTTCGCAAAGCTCGTTTGATTCATTCGCGTATTTCTTTGTTTTAGTTAAACCATGATACGACTGCTTTGATCTGCTTTTTCAACTAAGTACATACTACATACAAAACATCATCCTTATTTCGACCACTCTGCCCTTCCGATATCAATACCAAACCTCCTCTCTGGCGTACCTTTTTCGCCCCACCAACCCAGACTAAATAAATAGCTCTGGAAAATTCCTTTTTGCTCCATCTCCTTATCAGTGCACCACTCCGAGCCCCTCGGTATAACGCCTTCCTTCAGCATCTCCGAGCTCGCAAGCAGACTAGCTGCAGCCGCAATGCTACACGGGTTTTTGGGCAAAGTCTCGCGGGTATCCATAAGGTAAGCTGAAATGGCCACGCAAATTGCGGTTAAGGCGAGGAGGAATTGCAAGATTCGTGTAGACCAAAAGGTCTGCATCATCCGAAGACGGTTCGCATTGATGATTGTGCCATTCAGAGCTTCCATACCCGAGGGAGCAGGCATTCTTCCGACTTGGTTCATGATCTGGGCGAAGCTCATCCGGTAAAGGTGTTGGATGTCTTCAACAAGCGCCGGGAAGGCGCTTTCTCCCATGCGACCTTCTATGGAGACATTGCTTCTTGAGAGAATAGTTTGGAAAGTGGCATCGAAAGTGTCATTGGTCCGATAGGTATAGGGAAGAGTGCTGTTCATTCTCACAAGCGAAAGTGCGCCATCGCTGAAGACCTTGGTGGTGTTCTCGAAAGGCTCTGCCTCCACAATCTGATAAGAAGGGTACAAGAAAGTAGTGTTGACCTGTAATTCCTGGATCGAAGAAAGGCATGTCATGCCATTGATGCCGGCAGAGTCTGGCGACGTTCCATAAGTGACAGCCACGCGAGGACAGTTTGCCGGAGGCGTCAACACAGACATCTCGAGGGGCACTGCCACTTGAAGAGTCCCAAATGGTTTTCCATCGTACTCCCATCCCGTTGACAGAGCGTCCCCACATTTCGTTGTGTTAGGGAAAGTTATCCATCGGTATTCCGAGATCTTGCTTTTTTCTATCCCTAGTTGGTTCCCAGAAATGAATGTGCAGTCCAAGTTCGCCCGAAGTGCAGGAAGGACAACCGAGAAGTTCGATCCATCTGCTACTGGAAACGGCGGAAGGGAATCATTGGTGGCGAAACTAATTTTGGGGAATGCCAGTTCGCCGTGGGTCCAAAGAGGGTCGGATAAGTTTTTCTTTAACAGCATATTCATTATAAGAGAGCCGTTGTCAGAGCTGATGTATTCCGGGTCGTAAGAGGAATTGAAGACATTGGAGAAGCCAAAAGAGACGTCCTGGGGTATTTGGGCAGCTCTTGCGGCATAGAGTCCGCTTACTGCAATTGTGAAAAAGGGTATGAGAAGCATCGACAATGCTGTTGTTGTGATAGCATAGTGTCTATCCTTGATAGAACTACACAAGGAATGTATAGTCATCCTGGAAACTTGGTCGCTCAAAATTGCTTTGTGCGCCACGGAAGGCTCCATCCTCAGATAGTAGTAAGGCGAGAAGATCCTAGCAGTAAATCCGATCATGCCTGCGAGTAGCTGCATGGCTATCATGACAGCTGCTGGGACGTAAGCCCAAGTATAGCGGATATAGCTCTCTTGGTCTACATCAGCCAGACCGCCTGAATGCCTGGATTTTTGGTAAATCAGCTCCAAAGGTAGCACCAAAAGTAGCAGCAAGGCAGCAATAATTGACTTCGTGATGATATTAGCGGAGAAAGGATGCCACCAATGGCCTTTCTGGTCTGTTTCCTCGGTTGTTTTTTTCGGTTCGATATCCGTATTATCCATCTTTTCCTGAACCTCTATGCTGAATTGAGCGACGTTGGCATGGTACCCGACAACAGTTTCGCATTTGTAGTTGGAGAGTAATGACCGCAGGCTTTCCAGTTTCAATGCCCCTGCTGATGACAGTATGGCAGACAGATCGCGGCTCCGAGCCATTATCGCGGCCAGACCACCGATCGTCCCGGGGTCTCCGCTAGTTACTGCCCGGGGGACCAGGGAGTATAGGCAGGCCGTTGTAATGGTAAGAACTCCTAAAGTGGCTTGCATAAAGTATAATGACAAGCCACGGATGCGGAGACGTTGTTCAGTGACATGACATGTCCCTTCGTGGTTTTCTTTTTCAGGTGTCATGATGTTGCTTTTGGCGATTTGTGCAGCCACAAGGCTGTACAATCGTCTCGATTCTCTTTCCAGGAAATTGTAATCAGTGAAGGTATCATTGCTTATTCTTGTTACGGCTCCCATGAGAGTAAAGAAGCTGCTGAACGAAGCAATGGATGGCGTGCTTTTGGCAGCTAGGACGAGTGGTTTCTGGTTAGAAGGCATAAGAGATAGAGACGAATATGCCTCACTCAAGGAGGAAATGACGCCTTCAAGAAGGTCCCACTCTGACAGTAATGGAAGCGTTTTATTAGGAGCGACTTGGTCATGCAAAGAAACATCGAGCAAAGCCCCATTGCTGTCGATAGTAATGTCGGCAGGTTTGATGATGTAGTGAGGCTCGCACACCAAGACAGTGCTGTTCTCCACGCGGGCGGTTATGTTTTTGATGTCAGAGCCCAGATCTAGTAATCCTGTGGCCAAAACGAAACGATTCGACTCTTCGTTGGAACATTGCGCGGAGGCGGCGAATGCGGAACCAAAAACCGTATTCCGCCAGCTGAAGGAGAATCTGTTTGGCCAAGTAAACTTTTTGAATTTACAGGAGGCAGACTCGACCGAAATATCCATGTGCACCAGCTCACATCCCGAGGATGTACACGAAACATTGTGGGTTGTCATATTGGCGGGTTCGCAGGTCAGATCGGCGTGGAAGGTATCGATTGTGGTTTTGATGGTAATGTTGCCCCATTCTATCAAAGTTATCAACTTCCGCTCCATCAGTGCAAAGGACTTTTAACATCCGTCACCGTCAAGCGAGGTTCACTGCCTAACGAGACGACGAAATGTGCACTCGTACGGGGTGGAAAGGAAACAAAGTCAAGAATTTTGTAGGCATGTAAATGCCTAAAGATCTCCTTACTTATATCCAGGTCTTAGACATATAGCTAAACAAGGAGTATCATACAGGGGCTGCTTGTATTCTTCTTTGTCTCGCTAGACCGTAAATCTCGCTTGATGGCGACGGGTGTTATTGTCTAGAAGATGGAAAAACATACCTATACGATGATCACGCATCTCAAGCGTGGGAATTGCGTAGCTGTCCGACGTGCCCGGTGGGTAAGACATGTTAAGGCTTTTGAATGCCACCACAGACAAAGCAGGTGTAGCATCGATGAGCGATGTGTTGAACACGCTGGCATCGAAGTGGTCCAAAGCTACCAAAGGAATGTGGTTGTGTTGGCGACTTTCCAGTTGCAACGTTAAGAGGCCGGTGGATAAAACTGTCAGCAGTTTTAGCAGCAGTGAGCCTGTGATTGCAAGGGCGACGGCATAATCGGAGGCCTTGAGGGAAGCCCAAAGAGCATTGGGCTGAGCCTCGCTGACATAGTCTAGAAGGAGTGCCTTTGAGGCTTGTGTCGGTCCACTCCTCAATTTTGCCCAGGGCGTCATCTGTTTGGTCCTGTGCTCCAGTTGGCCCCAGCCTGTAGCAACCATCGCCAGAACTACCGCTTGATTAGCATTTTCCCGGAAACCTATAGTATCACATACTAGCAGTGGGTCCATAGGTCCATAAGAAATGTCTCGTTGACATTGTGGTTGCTAACCCTTGTCTCTTTATATCGAGAGCTTGAAGGACACCCAATGTAACGGCTAGCGCGATGTAGAGGCAGATAAAGCCAATTACGGCGCTTTTCCTCAGAAATACCGGAGTCCATAACCGGCTTCTTGTAGCATTCTCTGGAGGCTTATCGCCTAAGGTTGAAACCGATGCGGATGTCGTCGTCGTTTGCACTGTAGGCTTGAGGGCATCTTTTGCGGAGTCATAACTGGTATCCTGTAGTTCGAATTGCGATTCTCCTGTCGGATGGTGGTATCCCGTCCAGGGAGCCATTGTAGGCCGTATGTTTCACCGAGAGGCCGTGAGTGTTGGAAAGAGGATTATAGGGAGAAACGCGCTGGGGTCTTATTTTGTTATAAGTTTTGACCTTTTTAGGCTGCCTGTCGTAAGCATGGATGAGACTAGACCAACCTTATTTCAAGCCACTTTGGGGGCCGAAACGCAGGATAGCATGTCGTTTGCGCTATTGCCCCAAGATTTTATCAACGTTAACTGGACCAACACCAACAGAAAACCTGGCGGTGTAACTCAAAGGAACACGCTAGTGCGCGTACCACGTCATCCAAGCGCACAAAGTGGTGAGAGCAGCTGTCGGAACCCGGATAGTCTATTGTACACCATTAAACACAGCCCATATTGAATCGCAATCATCCAAACCTACTCGCACTTATTGGACCATTCTAAGGTCTCATTACGGATTTATTTTGCACTGAGCTGCAAGCTGACTAATATTAGGTGATCTTGTTAGCGCCCGGAACATAGGAAATTAGGAATACCCCTGACGGCGTGATGAATTTGAAACCCTAGTGTAGAAATACAGTCAGTTGAGGCACCAATTGATGCTTATTTCACCTACTTGCCTACTGTGCTATCCCCCGCGTCTCCATGCTCTTCATGTGAGATTGACCCCACGAGAACAGCGTAGACTGCTGTTTCATTTTCAGATGCTCGCATGCAGTTTTACCACAAATCTGGAAGCTAGTTTGCCACTCTGAGACCATGGAAGACTTGCAGGCAGGTTATAGGATGCCGTTTTACGGAAATGCGGGCAGGCGGGTGAGGCGGTGCTACGGTCCCCACTCCCCAGACAACGGCTGCTAACGCTAGCGACAGTCCAGAGCGGCTGGGTGGCTTGGCTAAGCAGCTAGCATTGTTAGCTTGTTAGCTTGGGCGCATATTCCAACGCCGATTTATAGACAATGCCTCTCTTTACACGCGCTGCTCTCAGTCCCAGCTAGCCTAAGTTATACCGGATTCGTGTCGATCTTGTTTGAGGCCTATCTTCAATGATGGAAACTCCAATTTTCACTGACCTCTCCAACTCCCCAGAGAGTGCTGCATCTTGGACCAAATCTAGGGTATCCTTGTCAACACCAGATAAAGTTGCCACAAGTCCAAATCCTTTGTCGATCGGAACAAGATACAGCCCTGTTACGCAAACGAGCATGACGCAAGTTTTGCGGGATAGTGAAAGTCGCCAAAAAAGGAATCCACGGTGACGTTATTTTTCGCCATGTATACCATCAGCGATTGCAAGGATGAGAGCCAATAAGCAACTGATTGCAGTGAGAGCGTTAAGAACATCGATAAAGGGTTTAATCCGCGGTTTCCCAAGTGCCGACTCAGTCGCGATTGAGTTTGTTTCACTGTGCAGGAGACTCGTTTCCAATTCGAATGGGGCATACAAAAATAGGTAAACGTGCGTGGGTGTTTAGTGCTCTTTGTTGCGTTCATTGTTGTGCGCTACACCTTTCGCACACATCAATCAACTTCGCGCGCCAATCCATACTTGGAGGCCACTTACTATTTTCAACACCCACATCCCCCTCTTTTACTCCGTCCCATCACTCATCCTCCGTCTCCCCTGCACTAACCCTTTCATATCCACCACCTCTTCCACCAGCCATCCTCCTAGCCAATGCCCTCGCATCCGCTCTCCCCTTCTCCGGATTCACATACAGCACGAGTGGGACCGGCGCCGCAATCAGGGCAGCCAGGAACAAAAACGCAGGTCTCAGCCCACCAGTCCTATCCACGATCGCACCGACAATAGCGGGACCGATGGCCGAGGACCCCTTGTCCGTGACGGCATAGAGGGCGAAGAACGCCGCTTCGGAACCAGGCGGCACGAGCGTGCCAAAGAAGGAGCGGCAGTACGACGACAGTCCGCCCATCACGAAGCCGTGCACGACGCCCAACGGATAGATCTCCCACGTCTGTTGCAGGCCGCCGACGCCCCATTTCTTGACGAAGGGGATGTAGGCCATGAGCCCGTAGATCGGGATCACTTGCATGAGAAAGATGCACGCGACGATGGTCTTGTGGGTTGGAAGGTCGTAGCGGCGCGAGATGAGCGGCCAGATGAAGGCGCCTGCGATACCGGATGAGGTGGCCGTGATGGAGAGGATGGCGATGGGGACCGTGTCCATTTTCAGCTCGGTGCGGGCGAAGAGGATGGCCGTGCCGGAGACGGTGGCGATGGCGTCCGAGAGCAGGAACCACGCAAGGAGGAAGACAAGGGTTTGCCGAAGCTGGGCGGCCGTTTTTATCGTCGTCCATACCGACTTCCAGGCGAAGCCGATGTAGGCCGCGACTTGGGCCAGGCGATTTTTCCGGGTGAGCGAGCTGGCCAACGGTGGGGCGGGGCGGTCCCGCAGCCATAGAGCGCACGGGATGGTGAAGACGGCCCACCAGAGGCCGACGAGAAAAAGTACCGACCGTAATGGGATGGATGAAGACGAGAAATGAACTTTGGACAAGCCAAAAAGAAGCCCGATGCTCAGGACTTGGACAAAGACTGCAGCAATGTATCCAAGGCCTACGCCCTTACTTGAAATCTTGTTTGAAAGAGCAAGCTCAGGCGCTGAAGTGCTTGAAGAGTCGTATGAAGTATCATCATCTTCGTCGTCATGGGATACGTTCTTGTAATGCGTAGTCACAGAGGGATCGTTTGCGGCCAGCAATGGCAGAAAGGAGTTGAGCAGCACGAATGACGATCCGAGAGACGCTACGCCAATGATCACCAGCAAAGAGCCTAGGAGATACAAGGATGGAGAGACGACGATGAAGAGCATGCTAGCAGCTGCTCCGACATATGCAAATGTGAGCAGAAACTTTTTGCGGTACGTGCCTGGAGAACGGTGAGTTGGGTAGGTCAACAACGAAGAGCGAGCGTGATACCATGGTCGGCGACAGCACTGAAAGAAACCAAGACGAGGGCCTGGAAAAATACGGCGATGGAAAAGGTGTACATGGCAAAACTGGCAGTGCTGACCTGTCTGCCAAAAGGATAGACGACGCATTGGGTCTTGTCTTGGGCATCCATGCAAGAGGTTACGCCGTCGGTTCGCAAGACACCCCGCTCACGAGCAAGTTGCTCGAGCGTGACGGGAAGGAAAGAGCCTGAATGCAAATAAGTATACTGTTTACGAATAGATGCAACATGTAAACACGAATAAGTGAGATTTTCGGTGCAGGCTTACCAACGCCGCATACCGCAAAGACTTCGGCAGCGATGCCGTAAGAATACCAGCCCTTGAGTTCACGGTCGGTCGTTGGGGTGGTGTCGTCGCCCTCAAATTGCGGTCTGCGGCGGCCGAAGCCACCAATTCCTTCCTCACTAGCCATTGGATATGTAGTGGGATGATGTGAGGCCACAACGGGCAGAAAGTTTGCGACTGGTGGCCGGAAACCTCGGAACGAGGGAAGGTCGCCTTAACAACGGGTACGTCATCTCCAGGTTCCACCATCTCCACGTTTCACCTGCACCCCACCTTCACTTTTGGGCACTCGTCTTGATATGACACAATCACAACTTCTCTGTACATTTGGCAGTAGCTGGTTGAATCTGCCATGGTCCTGTCGACACGGTTTTTAGTGCCAAAAGTATTCGAGCATCACCGCCATCATATCGTTGTCGTCCTTACTGTCACGTGATAATCACCTTTTCAATCTCATTCAAAATAAGTATGTACAACAATTGGAAGTCATGATGGTGCAAAGATCACCAGCTTGCAACAGTAAGCGGATTGGATCCATCAGAATACCTGTGAGTAACTAGTTTGGTGAAGAGGGTGGGAACGAAGACCCGGAAGGCAGGCAAGAATGAGCGCGGGAAAACGGCAGTCTATGGAGCTGCTAAACAGCACAGCAAACCCAATTGGCCATTGAGTGCCTATTATACTCATGTGGTTCAGCATCCGACATCACAAGTTATCGCACAAGCGAGATTTTCCATGCTTTAGCGTCGCTGGCCACGCTGACCAACTCGTTCCACTCCTTCTCTCTCATCTCGGCCTTTTTATGATGTTTTTCGTGAGCCTCGACTCAAAGACCTGCCCCTCCAACATGATAGTCACCAAACAGTTTATCTTGGCAGAAGGTATGGATGGGGTCGCAGAGCTGTGGGCCGTTGTCATCGGCAGAAGACTAACGTTAAAACCCGGAGACTAACAAGTAGTGTATTGCAAGCACTCGGCAAAAAGATATACTATAGCTTTTGGCTTCGGATATACGGGTTTTGATGTACAGTACCCCTGCACAAATTCGGCCCTCGCTATCTGATAAGGCTGAATTGTACGCCAATGGATAGCACGGAACCCGTAGCTGCCGGTTGATCCGGATAGCCAAGCACACGATCGCCACTATCTCCATCGAAATTCATCACCACCCTTTTCTTTAGAGGCGCGCCAGATACCTGATATCTGTTTTTACAGAAAGGCGAAAAGGCGTCAACATCACAGGACACCCAGCCCCGCACGGACCAGATTCTAAAATGGTATACCGCAAGAAATCTCGCCCTTGCCGCAGGGCTGACGCTTTCCACTAGTCCCAAGACCTTGCCCAGCGGCAGATCGATGACATCCGGGCCGCTTTCGCCGTTTTCGTACGTGATGATTTGTCGACCCACCCATCCATGTGCCCACCAACTGAACGCATGTCTCCAGGATAAGAACGGCGATGGCCAGATCTCCGCGCAAGAGCTCGGTGAAGTGATGCGCTCGCTCGGGCAGAACCCCACAGAGTCCGAGCTCCAAGATATGGTCAACGAGCTCGACCTCGACAGCACCGGCACCGTCGACTTTGAAGAGTTTTTGAAGATGATGAAGACAAAGTCGAAGCAGATGGACTCGGACGAGGAGCTGCGCGAGGCTTTTGCTGCCTTTGACAAGGATGGATCTGGCACGATTAACGCGGAGGAGGTCAGACATGTCATGAAGGGCATTGGCGAGAACCTAACCGATGGAGAGATTGATGAGATTATCAAGCAAGCGGACACAAATGGTGACGGCCTTATCGACTGTAAGTTTAACCAAACAATTTGTCAAGTGTTGTATACTGATTTGCGATAGATAATGAGTTTGTCAAGTTTACCAAGCAAGGCTGAGTCTAGAGAAATTAAAATAGAATATTTGGGCTGGCCAAGCTCCGAGGTAATCTGGCCATACCTCACCACACTATCGTAGCCTACAATCTAGCACCGTCTAAAGTGGTTTCCGGTCACGAGATCGCCAGTTCTGCGCTTACGTTGTATAGAAACCGGCTTTGTTGCCGGCGAGAACACACCGGATCGAGACTTCCGGTATGGGTGTGATAGCCCTAGAAGGCGAACGCAAGAAAGGATGCGCGTACGAACAAGGTCCGAGCGAAAGAGATGATGCGACGGTAAAGGCGAAAACAATAAAGGAAAGAAGAGGAGTACTGCGCGCGAGCTGCTCCCTGTTCTCTGTAGCCGGGTGGGTATCTGGAGCAGGTCCCCATAACCACACCGAGGTTGTTTAGGTGTCTCAATAGCTTGGTCGTATTATCGCTCGCGTGCTGAGTTGGTAGTTAGACCGCTTTTCGATGATCGTCGCTCCGCCCTACATGCGCGAAACAGGTCTATATCGCTTATTCGAGGCAGGCTGATGCCACCATCCGCTCCGATGGTATCCTCCGCGCCGAATGCCGTGGATGGCGCGCTTACAACTGTGAGCTTAAATTTCTTTGTGTTGCCTCGACGAGCGTTGATTGGGTTCGTGCTGCATGATCCCCATTTCTCGGAAGAATCGGCATCTAAGGCAGTGCTACCTACGTAGTACCTCAACACGTTCACTTCCCCCCCCCCCCCCCCTTCGCGACTTTCTCTTTCTCTTCCGCCATCTCGAATTTCAAGGAGCATTCGCTTCATCGAGTCCGTTGTCGAAATGGAAGACAGAATCACCCCTGTTACGGCACATGACAAGCGCGACTCAGGGACGGTTACCCATCAAAGCTTCATCGCGCCCTTCTCGCTGGATCCCGCATCGGAAGAAGAGAAGGTTCCAGGAAACAAATTTGCGTTTTCGCCGGCCCAACTGCACCGGTTAATTACCGTTCGGAATCTGGACGCGTTGCACTGCTTCGGTAGCTTACCCGGACTGGCCAAAGGACTCAAGACGGACGTTAAGGCTGGCCTTAGCATCGATGAAGACGTGTTAAACGGGAGCATCTCGCTGGAAGAGGCGCTCAGCCCGGATTCTGGCTCTGCGAGCCAAGCAGTATTCGAAGACGTGGCAGCAACTGCCTCCAGCCCAGGAAAGTTCACGGACCGTCGCAACACCTTTGGCGAGAACCGTGTGCCCAGGAGAAAAGCGAAGACGTTCTTGCAGCTGGTATGGCTTGCTTTTAACGACAAGTTAATGTTTCTTCTCACCGCGTCTGCGACGGTCTCGCTTGCACTTGGTATCTACCAGTCGATCAGTGACACGGACGGGGACTCCAGTATTGACTGGGTCGAGGGCGTAGCCATCATTGTTGCTATAATCTTGATTGTGCTTGTCACTGCCATCAATGATTATCAAAAGAACTTCAAGTTTCAAAAGTTGAATCAAAAGAAGGATGAGCGCATGGTTACGGTTACCCGCTCGGGGCAACATCATTCTATTTCTATTTTTAATATTCTTGTTGGCGACATATTACATGTCGAAGCGGGCGATGTTATGCCCGCAGATGGCATCCTGGTGGAGGGATTTGACATCCAGTGTGATGAATCACCTCTCACAGGCGAATCGGATTTAATAATCAAGACTCCGCTTGATGGAACGCATGCGCAGCACCCCGGCGACCCTTTCATCCTCAGCGGTACGAGGATCGAAACAGGAGTTGGAACATGCCTTGTCGTCTCGGTTGGCGCCAATTCAACCTATGGAAAAATCATGTTGTCATTACAAGACGACATAGAGGAAACGCCATTGCAGCAAAAACTGGGAGTACTTGCCAAGTACATTGTCAACTTTGGCCTTATTTCTGGAGTTATTTTCTTTGCTATCATGTTCATCAGGTTCCTCACTGAGCTCGATGATATTCGTGGCGGCCCAAAGGCGAAGGGACACGAGTTCCTCGAAGTCTTTATTCTCTCCATCACCGTCGTCGTTATCGGAGTACCCGAAGGCCTTCCGCTCACCGTTACCCTGGCACTTGCGTTCGCAACCACAAGGATGCTCAAGGATAAAAACCTCGTGCGGCTCCTCCGTTCATGCGAGATCATGGGGAATGCCACGACCGTTTGCTCCGACAAAACTGGCACGTTGACGCAGAACAAAATGAGCGTGGTCGCAGGCATTGTCGGCACCTCTGATGAATTCACCGACGGCATGCCTTCCGCATTGGCACCTACTAGCGAAAAAGACTTGCCTCGTCCCACGGCAAACAGGCTGATGTCATCGCTTTCCGAGGACGTCCGGGCCTTACTTAGGATGAGCTTTGCCTTGAATTCCACCGCAATCGAAACGGGCGACCGCGGGAAGTTCCTGGGATCCAGCACAGAGACCGCTCTGCTCCGATTCGCGTCCGACAATGTCGCCATGAGCGCGCTCAGCGAGGAGAGAGCCAACGGCAACGTCGTGGAAATGGTGCCGTTCGACTCGAACCGGAAATGGATGGCTGTCATCATACGCCTAGGTCCAGGGAAGTACAGGATGCTGGTAAAGGGGGCAGCCGAAGTGATTCTTGCCGCGTGCTCGGAGGCCTTGCGAGGGCCGCAGGACGGCATGTCCCCTGCGGAGCTGACTATGGATAACGCGCACGCACTCGAAACCGCGATGCTTCAATACGCCGAACGGTCGCTTCGCGTCATCGCGGTTGCGTATCGGGATTTTGAGGACTGGCCCCCTCACCAAGACTCTTCCCCGCATCAAGAAGCAGCAGCAGCGAATATCACGGACCTGGAGAATCTGGTCTTCATAGGCGCGTTCGGAATCCGCGATCCCCTACGCCCCGAGGTTGTCGAAGCAGTGCGGCAATGTCAGTCCGCCGGTGTCTTTGTCCGTATGGTTACCGGCGACAACTTCTTCACCGCCAAAGCCATCTCCTCAGAATGTGGCATCTACACAGCGGGAGGAATCGCCATGGATGGGCCGACGTTTCGGACACTGACTCCTGAGCAGCTGGACCTTGTCATTCCGCGTCTGCAGGTTCTCGCGCGCTCCAGTCCTGACGATAAGATGCTGTTGGTTTCGCATTTGAGGGGCATGAACGAGATCGTCGCTGTCACTGGTGATGGCACCAACGACGCGCTGGCTTTGAAAGCTGCGGATGTTGGATTCTCCATGGGGATTTCCGGGACGGAAGTGGCTAAGGAGGCCTCTGCGATTGTGCTCATGGATGACAATTTCACTTCTATCGTGAAAGCAGTGGCTTGGGGTAGAGCCGTCAACGACGCCTCCAAGAAGTTCTTACAGGTGGGCAAGCTCTTCCGCTCAATTCGACCCTCTTGCTAACCAAAGCAGTTCCAATTCACCATCAACATTACTGCCGGGCTCATAACCGTCATATCAGCCTTGGTCGGCGGTACCAACGCGTCCGTCTTCACCGTCGTGCAGCTTCTCTGGATCAACCTCATCATGGACACCTTTGCCGCCCTAGCCCTAGGCACAGACTACCCCACGCAGACGCTACTCTCACGCAAACCCGAACCCCGGACAGCATCCAGCCTAAACACGACAATGTGGAAGATGGTACTCGGGCAATCCATCTACCAACTCGCCGTAATCTTCACCTTCTACTACGCCGGCCAAACCATCTTCGACTACCATACCCCGCGCGAGCGCAAGCACCTCCAGACCATGACCTTCAACACGTACGTGCTAATGCAAGTCTTCAACCAACTCAAGTAAGTCTCGTGCACACCCACACCACACACATACCTAAACCCTTACTAACCACACCCACCCCAACCCACAGCTCCCGCCGCGTAGACAACCACTTCAACATCCTCGAAGGCATCCACCGAAACCCCTGGTTCCTCTTCGTGCAAACCACGACCCTAGTCGGGCAAATCGTCATCATCTTCGTCGGCGGCGAAGCGTTCCAGACCGTGGCCCTCACAGGCGCAGAATGGGGCTGGTCGATCCTGTTCGGTTTCCTGACGCTACCGCTAGGCAGCCTGATCCGGCTCATCCCTGACGAGCTCGTCCACTCCGCCTGGAGCGCGGCAGTGCGCAGCATGCCGACGCAGTGGCTGCGGCGGCGGCGCCACAGCTCCGACGACTACAGCATCCACAGCAGCGGCGAGGCGGCGCGGCCGCGCGGGCTGCTGGAACGAATTTTCGGGTGCGCCTCGAAGGACGCACCTGCGGCTGCGGGTGCAACCCCGTCTGCCACGCCCGACCCCTCGCAGCTGGACCTGCACACCCCGTCCCCCTCGCTGCAAAAAGCGACGTTCCCGGCCGCGCGCGAGGAGTTCGATCTCAGCGCTGCGGTCGAGGCGGTGCGCTTCGGCGCCGGCGCAGAGGCGTATCCCACGTTCGAGGTGCACCCGGATACGCTGAAGGAGGATCCGGTGCTCTTGAATCTGCGCGGGAGGCGCGCGTGGAAAGACGTCCCGCCTAGTCAGAACCCTGTGCAGTTGGGGTTTATGGGGACGGCTGCGCGCGGAACGGCGTAAGCGTGGTGTGGGACTTGCTTGTGTTCATGTTTATATCTGTTTTCTTGTTGTTTTGGTTTAGTTTTTCCTCTCGGTCGGGTTGTATATGGTGTACATGAGGTCTACGATTTAGATGTATGTTAGAAACGATGATTCGGAGGAAATAGTAATGCGAGCATGTTCATGTCCAAGATTAGCAAATAAATGTCTCCGACGTAGTCCGTTTGCACCCATCCAGCGAAAAAGGAGAAGGCACCGGATATTTGCGCATCCCATATAATGGCATACCTCTAAAACTATATGAAATACTTTCTACTCGTGGATGGTTTTTATCTTTATACTCTTATAAGTGCCTTTATACCCTTAGCATATTTTATTTCCTATATTTTTACCTTCATATCTCTTTGAACACTATCACACCTAGTATCTTTTCTACTAGCCACAGCGCAATAGTCTCTTACAGCTACCCAAGAACTATTCTATGGGTACACCATTGATAGGTAACTGAGAGGTGCACAAGATATCCGGGGTAATGGAAAAAGAAAAGAAACGGCAAACCAAAAAGCCTTAATCCGTACCGCGTATCACATCACACCTCAACCCGAACCCTTGTACTGTACCTACCAGGACCCCTACCACTACCCCTCCCACTCACCCCACCCAACCCGCACCTGCACACCTCCCCTGCAACGCGCCATGCACCCACAGCGACGGCCGGCACCGAGCACCCAGCACAGCACCGGCGTCCCTCTGGTCGCGAACAACCATCCATCTCCCCATATCCTCACAGCGCCAGCGCCACATGCGCTCTCCACACACTACCCGTAATCCATACCTACCTACGGATACGCAATACTAATTCGCGCCGACCCGCTCCCCAACGACCCGCGACCCGCGTCCCGCCCGGCTAGCGCGCCGCGACGCGACGCACGGCCCCCGGATGCCGATCACCCGCCTCGCCGGCGTCGCAGGCGCCAGTCTGATTCGACGCGCACGCATGACAGCGCGCGTGCGGCACAGAGGGCGGTGGGGTGGTGGGTTGGTTTGCTTTTTGGAGGGGTAGGTACGCCGTACGCCGTGGTAGGTGGTAGGGTAATACGGAAGGGGTCGGGGGTAGGTATTTAAGGTGCGGACGGCGCCGGCGGGCTGCGTCTGCTTTTGCGCGCTTGTTCGCTTTTTGCTGCTTTTTGGACTGCTTTGCCGTGCCTGCCTCGTTTGCAAGCTTGTTCGTACCTACCGTTGGAAGAACTGTGCCATCCTGTTTGTCGACTCCGGCGGTGCTCCCTGCCTACGTACCCACCAATCTACCAACGGCTCGACACGCGCGCGCGCACCGCAAGCGTTTTTCGATACAATTGAGTGAGAGACAATCGCGCTCCAAGCCTGCAACATGACGGAACAGAACCACGCCCGGGCGATCGTGGCGCGCGGCCCGCTGGGTGAAGGCGGGTGGAAGATGGAGGACGTGCGGCTGCGCGAGATCGCAGACGACGAGCTGGTGATTAGAGTCGTGGCATCCGGCATCTGCCACACGGATATCATCACGGGCAGCCAGAAGGAGGGACCTGGCGTTGTGTACCCCTCCGTGAAAGGGCATGAAGGTGAGTGAGCGACTAGCGGGAGTGTCGGATGCCGAGGGGTTTCGCTCTGCATGCTTACAATGCATATGGCTGACAATGCAACTCATTCCGCAGGATCCGGCTACGTCGAGCGGGTGGGTGCTGCCGTCACCGTAGCTCAGCCCGGCGATCCCGTGCTGCTGTCCTTTTCCTACTGCGCAGATTGTGCCATCTGTGAATCCGGGCATCCGGCTTACTGCACCCGGTTCGGAGAGATCAACTTCGTGGGCGCGCCCAACTTTTCCTCCGCGACGACGCTGCCGAATGAACAAGCGGACCTTTTCGGTGGGTTCTTCGGGCAGTCGAGCTTTGCGAGCAAGACCATTGTAAAGCAAAATTCTGTTGTCAACGTCAAGGGGCTCGTCGCCGACGATGACCTGAAGATGCTGTGTTCGCTGGGCTGTGGAGTTCAGACTGGGAGTGGATCCATCACCAACCTTGCAGAGGCTGGACCGACGGACACCGTAGCCGTAATGGGGGTTGGTGCTGTTGGTTTGAGCTCTATAATGGTTAGTTTGTCGTGACTATGACATGAGCAGCGGCTGACAAAAGGCGACAGGGTGCCAAATTGCAAGGATGCCAGACCATCATTGGCATTGATAAAGTCGCCTCGCGCCTGGAGCTGGCAAAAGAGCTGGGAGCTACCCACACCATCAATACGGCCGGCATGAAAGACCTGTCTGAAGTGGTGAATGCCGTCCTAGATGTGACTGATGGCCTGGGGTCCTCCGTCACCGTCGACACGACGGGCTTTGTGCCGTTGATCTCCAAGGGTGTAGAGTTTACGCGCATGAGGGGCAAGTTGATCCAGGTCGGCCTCCCGGCCTTCGACGCGACATTGAGCATCCCCATCACCATGTTCATAATCACGGGGAAGCAGTACATTGGGTCGATGGAAGGCGACGTGGTCCCGTCCGAATACATCCCGAAACTTCTGCAATGGTACGGGGATAGCAAGCTGCCGCTGGAGAAGATGACGCGATTCTACAAGGCGGACGAGTGGCAGAAGGCCATTGACGATACGCACCATGGCGACGCGGTCAAGGCGGTGATTGTGTGGTGAGCGGGATTGGATTGGGAGATGTCGTCCGGCTTCGGATTTTAGAGCGAGAACGGCGGACGTAGAACCGGATGATCAGGGTACGATGATAGGATCGACATAGTCTGACGAAGCATCAGATAATGGTGAGAGGCAGGCCTGGCTCCACATGAGCACACGAGGTGGAGATGATCGAGCGATATCGCGAGCAAAATGAGTGCAGCGCGGTGGACGGTGCGGAATGTTTGGGGCTCGGGAGACGCGTTTTGCAGGCATGGCGCGTCGCGATCCGCGGTGGACCGTGCTTGGCATCGAGTTCAGCCGGGTCAGGAACAGATGGAAAGCTGGGCAAACAGCGTGTATTGGACGCCGCAAAGAGGGAGGCTATCGAGGCGTCGACAGGACGGGCAGTGCTAGGCTCAGAAGAGCAATCCGCATGCAAGAATGCACGCGTAATGAACGTTTGTCCCCCGCGCTAGCGTCCCGGCACGGCGTCATCCCAGCCCTCGGAGCCCGGGGCTTCTGAATTTTCCGGCTGTGCTCTGTCCATCAAGTCGCGTCTCGCGTCCTCCACGCTGCTTTATTTAACGCGCCTTTCATTCAAACAACAACCTTCGACTTTCCCCGACTAGCCTCTACCAGATACCGTCTGCCTCATCTCTTTGCACCACTCCGTCACCTCCACCATCGTCTCAATGGCTGCTCAGGTTCAGACTCCCTCTAAGAAGGTACATTCCATTGCCACGGCTCTCTCCCTCTGCACGCGTCTGTTCAGCATAACTAACCCGTATACCCTCTACAGGCTGCTGCCGACATGGCCGGTCTCAGCATGGACTCGCCTTCGAAGCTCGACTTCAACGGTACCCTCGAGTGGACCAATGACGAGGTCGCCCGTCCCATCGTCGGCATTCCCGACCTGCCCGACGAGCCCGTGGATGACGACGAGAAGCACCCCAGTGTTGCTGCCACCATCCGGAAGGAGGAGGCCCACGAGCCCCTCCTGCAGGAGAACCCGCACCGCTTTGTGCTCTTCCCCATCAAGTACCACGAGGTGGGTGATCAACAACACGCGACGCGTCTCGCGTCGACCATCGGGAACACCGAGCTGACGGAACACAAATAGATCTGGCAGATGTACAAGAAGGCTGAGGCGTCTTTCTGGACGGCCGAGGAGATTGATCTCTCCAAAGACCTTCACGACTGGAACAAGCGCCTGAACGACGACGAGCGCTTCTTCATTTCCCACGTGCTCGCTTTCTTCGCCGCGTCGGACGGTATCGTCAACGAGAACCTGGTCGAGCGTTTCAGCTCCGAGGTTCAGATCCCCGAAGCTCGCTGCTTCTACGGCTTCCAGATCATGATGGAGAACATCCACTCCGAGACTTACTCTCTGCTCATTGACACCTACATCAGCGAGCCTAAGCAGCGCAACTACCTTTTCAACGCCATTGACAACAGTACGTCCCACTACCTCTACGTGTCTACGCGAGCATCCACTAACGCGTCTCACAGTCCCTTGCATTAAGAAGAAGGCCGACTGGGCCCTGCGCTGGATCTGCGACAAGAACTCGACCTTTGCGTCGCGTCTGATCGCCTTCGCCGCCGTCGAGGGTATCTTCTTCAGCGGCTCGTTCGCGTCCATCTTCTGGCTCAAGAAGCGCGGCCTGATGCCCGGCCTTACCTTTTCCAACGAGCTCATCTCCCGTGACGAGGGCATGCACACCGACTTCGCGTGCCTGCTGTTCTCGCACATCAAGACCAAGCCCTCGCCCGCGGCCGTCGAGAAGATCATCTGCGAGGCCGTCGAGATCGAGCAGGAGTTCCTGTCGGACGCGTTGCCCGTCGCGCTGCTGGGCATGAACGCCAAGCTCATGTGCCAGTACATCGAGTTCGTCGCCGACCGCCTGCTGCTCGCCCTCGGCAACAAGAGGTACTACAACGCCACCAACCCGTTCGACTTCATGGAGAACATCTCCCTGGCCGGCAAGACCAACTTCTTTGAGAAGCGTGTCGGCGACTACCAGAAGGCCGGCGTCATGGAGAAGACGAACAAGAAGGCCGAGACGCCCACGGGCGCCCCCGCCGTCGTCAACGGTGACTTCGCCTTTGACGAGGACTTCTAGGCGCATCACCGCGTGACGTCGTGTCCTTTGTCTTTTCCAATCTTTTTTCTCTGTACTTGATATCCGTCGCTTTCTCTTCCATCATCACGACGGCATGCGACGGTAATGGACTGTCATGCCATTCAACTCTTCTCAACCAAAGAGGACATGTATTCATAGGCGTTAAAGGGACTGAGTAGTTTGGGTTAAGCCACTCTTGGAGTACTGTTTTTTTCAGATAATGAACGTCAACACGTAGATACCAATTCACGCATAACACTTTCAACTTGTTCGCATCTGTTGTAACAATGGTGGTTGCCCCGGGTGAGAAGACTCGGTTCATCATCATTCCACTCCATTTCTGTAGTCCATGCCTCTTGGCAGGACTCGTGCTAGACTATTCTTCATCTACACAAACGTATCTCATTCCCTCGCCCTCCGCCCCTTCACGACCAACCAGCCCGCTAGCCAGCCAGTCATCACCTCAGCACATCTAACATCTCAATCCTCTACAACTCAGTCTTCTCATCATCCTTCTTGAACAAACGCAGAATGTTGCTCCTGCTAACCAGATCATCCTCCTTCTCCGGTGCAACACCACCCTTCTTCAACAGGCCCTCCAAGCGAGCGAGCTCCTTATCGACATAGCCCGCATTGGCCGCCAGCTTCTCAAACACCTTGACATAGTACTCGTTATACTTGCCCTCAGCCTTAGCGGCGATCTTCTTGGCCTCCTTAACGCCCTTATCCCACGCGCCAGACTGGGCGTATTTTTGGACGAGGGAGTCGAAGGCGGCGATAGTGCCGCCGGTGGCGTCGAGGCGGCCGCCGGGGGCGCGGTGCGTGCCGGCGTGCTCGTTGACGTAGGCGACGAGGGCGGCTTCAGAGCGCCCGCCGCTGTAGTCGGTGGGCGAGGTGCTGCCGCGGGGGAAGAACTTGATCGTGGGGTAGGAGGAGACGCCTTGGTCTTGGGCGGTGGCTTTGGCGTTGGGGGCTTCGGCGTCGACTTTGGCGATGAGGACGGTGGGCTCGAGCGAGAAGTCTTGCGCGAGGGTTTCCCAGGTCGGAGCGAGGCTCTTGCAGTCTGTGGTGCGCGTGGTGCGTTAGTACAGGTTCGTGCTGGTGGTGCTGCTTGTAGGTAGGTAGGGAGAGGACGGGATGGGGAGGGAGGGGGAAACATACGACCGCACCAGGGCGCAGTAAACGCAACCAGGACGTCCTTGTCGCCACCAATCTCCTCCTTGAAGCTCTTATCATCCAGCATAACGACGGCACTAGGCGCCTTGGCCTTAACCTTCGCCCGCACGCCCGACTTCTCCGTCACAAACGCGCTCAAGCTCTCAAGGTCACGGCCGCCCTTATAGTCCTCGGGCGCGCCACCCTTGCCATCAAACCACTTGAGGGTGGGGAAGCCCTGGACGCCGAACTTCTGGCCCAGGGAGCGGTGCGCGTCGGCGTCGACCTTGGCGATGGCGACCTTGTCCGCCGCGTACCCGAACGCTTGCCCCAGCTCCTCGTACACCGGCGCCAGGTTCTTGCAGTGTCCGCACCATGGCGCGAAAAACTCTATCAGCGCCGGCTTGCCCGTCTGCGTGATTTCTTTGTCGAAGTTGTCCGGCGTCAGGTCGAGGACGGCGGCGGCGCTGGCGGCGCAGAGCGCCGCGAGCGTGCTGAGGAGGCGGACCATTGCGGCGTCTTTGTGTGTGTGGCTGCTGGCTGTGGTCCTGCGTTGGGTTTGGGGTGCGGTGCTCTGTCAATGAGTCCCCGAAATGGGTTGTTGTGGAGAATTTAAAAGTTGGGGTGTTTGACAGATACTTTGAGAGGCCAGCTGTCGCAGTGGCGATGGATGACGCCGCTCCCGCCCACCGCCAACGCCGCGCCTTATTAATCCTCGCTCCGCGTCGAAAGGCAACGTTTCATCAATCCAGCCAAGGCATTGATGTGCAGAATATCAAATGCAGACTTGTCGTCTCACGCCATTGCTTCCATCGTTCAAGGGTTGTTGACAGACATTACCACTATACAGGTCTCTAAGTGACGTTTGAACCACCAAGCACGTATCCATCCATGTTTCCATAGCACACCATCCAAGCATGCCCACCATCCAATATCCGCTATCCAGTGCATCTCCTCAAGACGTAGGCACGCCGCATTGCGTGCATAAAAGCGTGTGGCCCTCATCGTCAATCCGCGCAATGGCTTTGAACTCCGTGCCCCCGCACTCTTTGCACGTCACCTCCTGCTCCTCACCCTCCACCGCGCTGCTCTCCTCGCTGCTAAGACGGCTAACATAGCTTGCCTTCTTGGTCAGCGGCGGCTGCAGGTTCTTCTTATTATTTTCCAATTGGTTGCGCCATGTCGCCGGATTGTAGAACGCGTACGACTGCCCGCCGTGGATCATGAGCGGGTTGGCTTTGCTGCTGGGACTGTCGGGACTCATGAGGCCATGAGGGGGGGATATCACAGGCTCCGACACAGCGGCCGAGGGCCTCCTCCCCTCACTCGTCGTCACCCCCTCGTTCGTCGTCACCTTTACCAGGGGAGAACCTCCATCGACGCGAGCGTGTGACGAGCGTGCCGAAGAGGCGACAGAGAATTTGCTCGGCGACGCGCTCCGGACACTCTTTGCGCTCTTGTTGTCTGTGCTGCCACCGCCCCCGATATGTTGGCGCCAGGACAGAATGCGGTCGGCCGACGGCATTGTCGCAGTCGTCGCGGTCGAGTCACGCCGTGATCTAGCGCTGGCTTTTGTCTTGGTCGAGTTCGACCTTGCTCTAGACGAGCCCATCGTCCGCTTGGAGAAGACGGAGGATGTCTCCCAGCTGTCATTGCGCCGCTTGTCATAGGCACAGTCTTGCCGGAAGACTTTGATCTGCCCAGTATAGTCTGCCGTGACGATAATTTGACCGTCGGGATGTGTTGAACGCGCGGCATATGCAGGGGTCTCATGAAGCTTCCTGAAACTCGACTTGTGAGAAGCCGGTGTGCCTAGAGTATCCCCCTTGACGGATGCCGCCTTCGAGCTGACTGATTCCGCCTTGCTCACAAGCGTCACGGGAGGTGGGTTGCAGGTATCGTACAGAGGGTCTTCCGAATTGCTAAGCAGCTGGCGTGTCTTCGTCGGGGCAAGGATAGCGCATGTGGTGATTGAGGAATGCGCGTCGAACATCTCCACTGGCCGCTGGTTCCGATTCTGGTTCTCGCTGTCTGTAGGACCAGTTGTCCAAATATATGCCTTCCGGTCCTCGCTGCCGCAGATGACGAACCTACCGTCATCGCTGAAGCTCGCTCGGATTTGGCTAAAATTGTTCTGCTGGCCCCGGAACTTGATATCGAGGTTTTTGTCACGCCAGCTGTACAGACGAACGCGAGAGTCGTTGCTCGAAACTAACATTTTTAAGTCGGTAATGTCGGCTTCTCCGCTCAAATGCATCACCTGAATGCCCGTAATCTTGCTCCCCTTGGCGTTCTTTCCACGGGAGGACTTGACATGGATTTGCGTTTGGTACTTGAGCCCTTCCGTGTCGTAGAATAAACATAATCCGCTCAGCGTACCCGCTATCGCAGTTTTCCCGTCCGGGCTGAATGACACTGCCGTGATCATCTCCGGTAACTGGTTCCAAAAGGCAACGGATTTGTCGGGAATGCTCCAAAGGCGGAGTTTGGCGTCCAGCGATCCCGCTAGGAAGAACCGGTCGTCCTTGGGATGGAATTGGATCGATGGAACGAAATCAGCGTGTTTAAAGGTGCAGAGGCATTCAGACCTGCTGACATGCCACAGTCTTACGGTTTTGTCCATCGACGATGACAGGAGGAAGTTGTTCTAAGCTGGTCAATTGCGTCACATTATGGGTGTATACGTGATTGCATACCTTGCTCCAACTCAGATCTAGGATCGTCGACTCGTGCCCAGTGTATTCTCTGAATGTTTTGTTCTGGAAGACCGGAGCGTGCAAACGAAGCCCTTGGCCTCCGAAGGTCCCTGGCGTCGCTTCCTCAGACATTTCATGTGATCTCCGCTCCTCAGGCGTTGAGATGACAGCCCAGACGCGCACGACTTTGTCCTGTCCCCCTGCTGCGAGATATTTTCCGTCCTTGCTGAATTCCAGCGCCCACACAGGGTTCTGGCCCATTAACTGGCGATTGGCCGCACCCGGTCCCGCGCTCGTAGCTGGCCTTTGCCCTTCCTGCGGTTGTGGTTTCGCGCGCAATTCCTGCGCGACAAAAACATGGTCAAAGTTCCTCTCCGTCGTAAACCTTGAGCGAATCTTGATGTAATCCGGTGGTTGCGGATGCCGCGGATTGAACCCGACATTGTCTATCGGCTGCGAGAAGAGCTCTGCGTCCATACCTTCGGGTCGGAATTGGCCGAGTTCTTCTTCGTTGGCGCTAATGTCTTCGTCCTTTTTCTTGTTGCCCATTATGCGACTAAGGAATGACACTCCTTTCCTGCTCAATTATATGTCAGCCCTGGTTATCCGCGCCTCCAGCTTGCTCCTGCATGTGTTCGTCCGATAAGGGCCCAGCATCTTGATTTCGCAGGCTTCCCGAGCTGACAGAGTAGGAGGTCGGCGAGCAGGGCGTCGAGCATACCTCTTGTCCTTTGATGCTATGGATATCGTATCGCTTTTCGACACATCTCTGATACTCTTGGGCCCCGGCGAGCCATCTGAAGTGTAGGGTCGCGCGATGTTCGTAGAGTCTCCGCCGGATGGGCCAAACTGTCTGAGGACGTCCGTTGGGGTGTTGGTGCGTTTGAATATTTGCTGTGTGACCAGTCCGTCAGCTTACACCTGCACATGATCTCCCAGCCGCAGGATCGTGACCTACTTGCGACAGAGGGTCTATGGGCGCCCCCGACCCTGCACCTTCGGCGGAGCCATTATTGGCAGGATGCGTCGTGGAAGCGCTGGAATCTCTCCGGGGTTTCGTTGCAGGTGCCGCGCCCGCCTTCGATCGCGCTGTTCATGCCGTCAGCTACCGATGTGTGTTGAGCTCTCCGATGCCCGTGTCCCTTGCGCTTGGGTGTATTTACTTGAACTTGGTGTCGCGCTCCGACCTCCTTCCTCTCCGGCCTTGGGCGGCAGCGTCGACGGAGCTGGCGACGTGCTTAGGGGTATGGCATCTTGGCTGTGCGGGTTGGTGATGCGGATCGAGGGTAATTGGTCTGGCATTGTGGAATGTGTCGGGTAGGCTGTCTGCGTGAGGCGCTGCGACGGACCCCCGGGGTCATAATGGGTGTTTCAGTGTGGCGCAAGCTGGTCGATGTTGCTCGTCGACAAAGTAGGAATAATAGTGAGCATAATACAAAAAGATGGGCGAGCGGTGATACGGATACGCAGGACGTGGCTGTGGGGGATATGTGAGTGATTACGTTGCTAATCAAGCTGCAATTCCAGGTTACATTCGAGGAGACTGGAGATCCATCGGTTTGGCGCGTCAACCCCAAGCGGGACCAACGCCGCCCGTGACGTCGGCAGACGTCGGCAGACAAAAACCAAGGCCCAGACAAGCTCATGGGATCTCTCTAGGCACTTTTTTGCCCTGGTCCTTCTGCAGGTGACCACGATCGGCCATGTTTGTTCCTCCACCACCCCTCACCCCGAAAGCTCGCCTTGCCCCAGGTCTGGTACACTTGCGGGTGATCGACGACCACAGGACACTTCCTGTCACCGCCGATCGGAGTATTCGACTCCGTATCGATCTGGAGAAATGAATTCCTCCCTATTCGTATCCGTGGTTGTCGCGCTTTTCGTCTGGTCTACCTAGCGAGGATTTTCCTGCTGCACTTCCCCTCCATGCGACAAGACATCAGCTCGCATGCATCTCGACCAGTGAGAAACCGCACCATTCACGCTCGACTGCTAGCGTGAAGCTATGACATGGGCGAGAAGCATCGTTGGAACGCTTTCTGATTGGCTTGTACCCGTTTCTTTTCTATTTTTGGCTGTCTCTGGGGCTCTGCCACCCCTGACGAACTAGTAATCGGACGCGAAAGTAGGCCGCCTTAACCATGGCTTTGGAACCTGCATACGAGTCCCCTTCACTTCGCCAATGCTTTTGAAACTCTTATACGTACTTATAAAGTAGCAAGACGGGACCATCTGAACGCATGTCTTGTCCATTCCTTCTTTTTCGCATAGGGGCCTAGCAGAATACAATTCTGGGTGATGTACACTTGCGAGAAACAAGACCGCCATGAACTAAATGCTTTCTATAAGAGGCTTCTTGGCAAATCTAAGAATTCTGACGAACAAGAAAGCAACTAACGATAGTTTGGCTTTGGGTCTATTAGCTGCCTTCTTTGTCTCACCTCTTATAGGCTGGCCGGTATAAGCGAATAGCTCGCTTCTAGCTCGCCTCTACCGTAGTATAATACTATAGTTACGGACAGGGCACATATTGCCCTCTTAGAGTTAACGGTTTGAGATATATAGAATTTAATTAATTTTCGTTCCTATGTCTCAAATAAGCTTAGTTAGAACCCCTCACATCTGAAACCACCCTGATCCGCACTGAGTTGCAACTCCACCTTCAATAGTCAGGGTAGTCACTGTGGTGAGAACCTAAAGGCTTGAGCTTTCGTAGGTGTATTCGTTAATCAACCAGTTCAACTGCATTTGTAAATGTTATCACTTTGGAATTAATGTGAGTGTGGTTTTGTCTGCTGAGGATAAAGTGAGATGTTAACTCCCCGCAGATAACTGAGCTATCGTACGTGAGATAGCACGAGAAAGTAGCTGTCCAAGCAAAGAAAGTGAAAACAAGTTCGATGACAGCAGACTATATTTAATTTCTTCGAACTCCGTTCGCCAGCCCAAAGAGTACCCTGTCAAAACGCCAAATACTATGATTGCGAAAGACTGGCCGCAACGCATCTTATTTGTCCTCATCTTCGCTCTTCGGGTCACCACCAGCTTGAATCGTGCTTTCCAGAGCATCAAGACGGCGGCTCATGTCGTCCACTGTGAAGTGTTGGTTAGCTTAGAAGGACTTTCTCTCCCCTTGGGCGGAAGGTATGCACGTGATGAGAGGAAGTTGTTCAGTTCCCACCCAATAACTAGAAGACAAATAGAGCTCTCAGAATGATGAAATCGCAAAGAAGTCGAGAGCCAGTTGATTCATCTATGACTTTTTTTATTGTGGAACTTACTTTTCGCAATCAACTCGGACGAGACGTTGGAGAACTTGGAGGAAAGTTGGTTGAGCAGCTCATCGACAACAGCCGTGAGCTCTGCAGACGAACCCTCTTCGGTCTGTAGAGACTCTCCTTAGCCCCAGGGTACACATCCGACATTCGGGACACTCAGGGTCATACCTGCTTGTTGGAGGTGGATGATTCTGGGCGGTCCGACATGTCGAGGCGGAGCACAGGGATCTAGCTTCAGCGAGAGACCGAGAGGGGCGACGTGGATGCGATGATCGAGTATGGAGGCGGAGATGATCGAGTGCTTGATCGGGGTCAGGACGGTCGGGCAACCACAGCCGCGCGTGGTTCGGGTAGAGGTAGCGCACGGCCGGCACCGAAGGCGGTGAGTCTAGCACGCCAAACTGGTTAAATCGCAGGGTCGCGGCTTCGGGGAAAGCAAGACCAACAAAATTCCATCAACACACTCACAACCTTATCAGCTCATCACCAACTACAGATTCAATGGCGAGAAGTGCTTCGCCGAGAGTACGGATGCGCAGAGCAGCGCTGACATAACGCGGCTTCTAAGTCTGCAAGATGACGAGCATGAGCGGGCATTGGAAAGCGTCACGGCGCCGCTTGCAGTCAAACTTATCCGAACAGGCGGAATCAAGTTGAGTATGTATGTTTTTTTGTGTGTTGAAAGAGCTTGTATTGCGCTTTAAGAGGTGGTAACAAGGGTAAGACCTATTGCAACATTTTGCCGGTACTGCAGGGCCTTCTCTTACAAAGTCCTTGATTTATTCCGTCTAGGTCTCCGACTATCTCTTCGTTTGATGTTATGGGTCACGGATCATAGGTGCTTGGTATATCTCCTTCGAGTTCGTATCGTTCGTCCCGCTCTGTATACGTTGTTTAGACACTATACACAACCAAATCCGAGATTCGTTACCACTTACGATCCTCAACGACTTGACGCCGCCATTTCCTTAAGAGCTTGGGAATTTGTTTGATTATCCATGGGATTAGAATTACTCGTAGCATCACGCCGACTAGGAGACCGACAAGAGCAATAATAGCTTCTTTGCTCCACGACGAGTCCGTTTTACTGGATGCAGGTGCCATCTTGATGCGGTACGATGGTTCCAATGCGAAAACTGAAAATTTAAGATTGCTAGTAAAGGTAGCCAGGCGTGCCGGAGACTGACCGAAGCAGAGAGAAAGGAGTTCTGAAAGAATAGAACTTTATAAGGGCGCGTGGGTGAGAAAGCTGTCTAAAAGCCAAACGTTCATCATCGTGCCTAACTCGTATATTAGATATGGGGGGCTGTGCTAAGCGCCAATTAGATTCTCAGAATCTGTGCCACTGGATGATGATACACGATGCGTCGTTGTACAAGCATGACGGTCTGCAGCACGGCACGCCGCCTGCAGCACGGCGAGGACGGCGTGGCGTCAACTAAAATTGCACGGCGGGGCGAATAAGACGGCGGGGCGTCAACTACAAAGTGTACGGCGCACGACAAAAAGTACAGCCTTGCTGGGATGATCTGAAGTCTAGGGCTAGCAACAGTCCTTGGCAGGCCAGAAAGGCGTGACAACGCTTACCTCCACGCACGTCGAGGCGCGGGGTGGTGTGTACATACCATATGCGTGCGTTGAACGGGTAGGAAGGACAATAAGGCGGGGTGCTGCAACACTCAGCACGGCAATTTACGACCGACGGAGTGGTCGTGTAACGTGCGGGAGCCGGATGGCAAGGATCCGAGAGGTATGGAGGTAGCCGACTACCTACTACAGTGCTGCTGATTTTGCGACTGACTAGTGCCGTCGTTCTCTTCAATCATCCGGCTATCCCAACTTGGTTGCCTGGAACAGCGAATATGCTATATGGCCTGACAGATGGTCGCAGTGTATGCGAACGCGCTTTCGGCTTTCAGAACATAGATCGCTCACGTTCACAGCAGCAGCACAAGGCGCACTCACCCGCAACACTGTATTTGAGGACGGTTTATGCTTCCACACAGTTGGCTGTAACGACCGTTACCGTCAAGCGAGATTCACCGCCTAATGAGATAATGTGTGTACGGAGTAGAAGCGAAATCCGGCTAAGATATATAGAGTCGGTGTATGCTCTAAGACCTTTTTACCCATATCTACACTTCTAGAACTCAGGCTGTGAGTTAGGCAAGAAGTACTCTATAGGGATTGCTTATATCGTTCCCTATCTCGCTAGACGGTGGATCTCGGTTCGTGATGACGGACGTTACATTACTTTATCTCCGTTACTGATATTGCCTCCTGCTTACTCTACGGAATTCTCTCCTTTGCTTCGCATCAGCCCAATCATAATAAAGTGACAGGTGGCAATTTATTACGTGTATTTTTTTACTTGTACGAGGTATGAGCCTCACTCGATTGGTTGCTTTCGTTCTGTTGGCCTCTTTCTCTATTTATTAATATTCTTTAAATAATCCACTTCTTCCCCCTCATGTGACGATATTAAGCACTGACAATAGACGATTCATAGACATCATTCTTCATCATCCTTCGAGTTCGAACCGTTCGACCTGGCCTGGCTGTTCTGGTTCCGTAAACGTTGTTTAGCTTCTATGCGTAAATAATCTCGGGCTCCGTCACTTACGAGAAATGCGCACAACTCGCCGGCAATATCTAAAAAGCCTTGGGATTCGTGTGATCGTCCATGGAATTACAGGCAAGGTTATGCCAACTAGGATGCCGACAAGGGCAATGATGGCCTCTTTGCTCCATGAGAGCTCGGTTTCAGTCGACGTAGGTGCCATTGGTGACGTGGGTAAGCCGCAAGGCTTTTGATGTATGGGATTGCTGTTTAAGACACTTTATTTGGGGAAGTGGGTCGAGACGAAGACAAAACAATAAAAGAATTAAGAAGGTGTAAGCAACAAATTTGTTGCGGGAAAGTTGAGTCGGAAGGGAGGCAGAATCCTAAAAGCATTAAATATGCGTAAGCTTCAAAGCTGTCGGGGGTGGCGATGCCTGAATGGTAAGGGGAACAAAAAGCATTCCATGGTAGTTTGGGTGCCGGACGCGTCGGACCATCATAACTACTCTGCCAACACAGAAGCGTGGTTGGTGGAAGTCGGGCGGCTGAGGAGAGAGGAACAGGGTTCCAGGACCGAGAAAGCCTGTATTTAGGAGGGCCGGGCAGGGGATTGTAGGGGCGCTCTGACCACGTCGCCGTATTACATACTCCTCACAGCTGCCATAGGCCGCGTCGATTAGCACGGCGCTCGACGGCACGTAAGTCTCGTGGTCTCTTCTTCTAGAAGTATCGGCTCGCTTAGTAGCGCTACAGTATCGCATTCCTATACGCCTTACCCTAAAGGTTAATAGGTGCTCTTAGGGCTGTTAATTGCGCGCTAACCTGCTTATACCGTCGAGCTATATTGGCTGCAATATTTTTACTTTATTAAAGACGCCTGCCGGGCCCCCGCTAACGCTGACTCTTGCATATACACAGGCTCATCCGGCCGCTGGCTTGTCTCGAGTGCGCCGACTACTTAGGCTTCCTCTGCCCACGCCGGAGATGCGGTGCTTGCGGGAATCGGGTCGCCCGCGCAAACCTCACCGCCCTGACAAACCTATGCACGTCAAGCTGCGCCAGTGCTGGCCGTGCTGGAGTGGCGCAGTTTCCTACACGGGATCTACTTACTACGCTTATCTTCACCAACTTTCCATCTGCCACATTCGTCGGTCATGCCATCACTCGCATACTCATACGCTCCCCTACCCCAAGCGCTCTAAATGGTTGAAGAATTTGGCAAAACAATCACGTGCCAGAGTTCCTTTAGGACAACCCACATGGTGAGAGGCTTATCACTCAACTGTTTACTCGCACCATCTCGCGTATCTCGCGTCTACTTCTAAGCTGTAAATTACTGGCACTTTTCAAGTCGTTTATTTCCTTGTATTCAGTCTAATTCGCAATCGACACTAGCAGCTTGCTCGTTTTATCAAAGCTCACACAAAGTAACACTCGTGCTGGAACTGCTATCCTCACCGGAGAGGCCACTGAACAGCCCCGTCTGGACATTTGCTACTTTCATTGCCGCCGAATCTATATTGACTATACGAAGCCACAAAGGGTACGAACTCAGTTATGCACAGTCAGTCGCGGACTCAGCGATCCAGCATGCTTCTCAGTCCAGTACACGCCGGGGCTGACATCAGCACCCATGTCCAGCCCGGCACCCGAATTCGGTCTCGAACTCCGCCTCCCGCCTCCCGCCTCCCGCCCTCCGCTCCCGTCCCCGATCTCGCTCCACCTCGGACCCCGCACTTTCCAGATCCGCCACTCACGCTCCGCCAACACTTCCATCCTCACTCTCAACCTTCCACCAACCCGCCTGTCCCGGCAACACCTTCCGATCATGCCAGCAGCACCAGTTCACCGAGCCAAAGAAAATCGCTGCAGACGGTACCGCGAGCGCAACAGCTCCCATCGCGCTCCCGAACACCAGCACCCACGCCCACGCGAACCACGCCGGGTCGAGGTCGTGGTAGAGGATGCGAGTAAGTATCGGCGCGACAGGCACGGTCGAGAAGCCGTGCAGGGCGAAACCGGCGCCGGCGAAGGCTTCGGCAGCGATGACGCGGCGACGGAGCACACCATGCACGTGAGAGGGCGGGGTGAAATGGCGGTGGTGAGTGCGCCAGCGCAGCATGAGCGCGATGCCTGAGGCCGCGAGGAGCGAATCCGACGCGAAGGCGCCCCAGGCGACGATGTCCGCGGCGTGGTGGTGGAAGGGGTTGAAAGCGATGAGGATCGAGACTGCAGAAAGGGCCGTCCAGGCGAGGGCTATAAGGCGGCCGGGGTACAGGTACAGGAGGCGCGAGGGCAAGAGAACGCGCGCAGCGATGAGGAACTCGATGGCTTCGTGCTCGAGGAAGAAGAAGAGCTTGGGGGCGTCGATGTGCGTGTCCAGGAGGAAGAGGAGTGGCGCGGCGATGAAGGTCGAGGCGAAGACGACGGTGAGGAAGTGGAGGTCGAGAGCGCGGGCAGCGGAGAAGTTGCGCAGGGCGAAGAGGAGGCCGAAGACGGCGGCATGTTGGAAGAGGGCGGTGGCTGCGAGGAGGAGCTGCGCGTTGTAGAGGGAGGGGTCGCCGCCGCGGAGGAGCCAGGGGTTGGTGGTGTGTGGGAGGAGGGATGGTGAGTATGAGGAGTTTGAATTTCCACTCATTGGTATGCTAGGGAGGGGTGTGTAGGGTGGTGGGCATGTTCTTCAGTCTCTGGAGAGGCTTGCTATGGCATATAGACTGACTACTTCAAAGAAGCGCGCGCAGATTCTTTGTCCAATGGCTCGGCATACGTCTGCACGAGTCCCTACAGCAATTCTCTCGTCAACGGAAGCAAGGTGAGCTCACACTGGCAATCTTTTCCGTACTTGTTACCTCAGAGAATAACCCACAACAAGCAATTCGCCTGCGCGGTCTACAGAGTCTCCACGAAAATTCAGGAGACGACCATATTATAACCCAAGACCAAAAACACCATCCTTTCGAATAGAAGGCTCTCTGACTAAACTTTCCATTTATTCTACCTCGTCCAGGCCATATCATACACATGCCTACTCAATTAAAGCTTTCACTGTCTTCGCTCCGCCGCCATTCTGCCCAGAAAGTCCGCCACGAAAATTCAACTGTCCTTCTCGTCGTACTTTCTTTCAGCCTTAAGACAAAGCTGGCGCGCCACGGCGCCTCGATCATGCGGCTGGCCTACCTTAATTTTTTGTCCTGGGAAGATGTTAAGTCAACAGTCTGGCAGAAAGGCGTCTGCCATATCAATCTGCTGCTTTTGACTTGACCTGATACACTCACTCGCTCGATATTCCTCTCACTTGGAGCGTATTGCACGCTCCGTCCAGTCGTTCCTTTTTGGACCACCACTGATCCCACTGCAGATGTCTCTAGCTACATCCACACCACTCGTTTCCCGGATCCAAAGTGGCTGTCACTTACTTATTTTCGTCCTATTTTACTGTCGCGGACTCTCAGGTGTCTATCGATTTATCCAAACACATTTATAATTCCCAGAAAAGGCCCTTTAAGTGCCAGTCTTCCAATACTCATCACAGCCAAAATGAGCGTCGCCACTAGACGTCGTTCGTCAGTCATCAGGCTCGACATCCCCTACGAACACCACGCACCCGACCCGCTCCCCAAGGTACGCCACCCGTCTCCTTTCCATGTCAAAACTAACCCACACATACAGCTCCTTATCCCCCGCCCCAACGCCCCACCACCCCACGACAACTCCCTCCATCCGTACACGCACCTTCTCTCCGACCACCTCGCCTTCCGGCAGGCCGCCGAGCCCTGGCGCCCAGACCTCCCCGCAGCAGCACAGCAAGACCTCCACGCGATCGAGACGGCGTTCCCCGCTCTCCGGCACGCGCGCTCCGTCCGCGCCATGGCGGCATGGTTCGCCGCGCTCTGCACAGTGGACGACCTCGTCGAGGAGCTCGACGCAGGCAGCACGCTTGCAGCGCTGCAACAAGACGACATCCCGGGCGCCCCGCCATGCGGCAACGACAGCGAAGGCACCGTGTCCCGCGTCCGGCACATCACGCGCGCGCTCGATGCGCACTGGGGCGCGCTCTGGCCCCGCAGCAGCAGCACAGCGCGGCTCCGCGCCGCGGTGCGCGAGACCTGGGCGGCCATCGCGGCGGAAGCGCCGTTCCGGTGCGCGGGGGGCACGGCCGCTCTCACACCCGCCGCGTACATGGCGCTGCGGAGGCGGACGATCGGGATCGCGCCGCTGGTGGAGGTGCTGGTGCTGGACGCGCAGGAGCAGCAGCAGCAGCAGCAACCGCACGCACACACCTTCACCGAAAGCGCAGAAACCAATCCCGCTGACACAGAGCTGAAGCGCGAGCTCAGCCCCGCGCTGCTCGCGCTGCGGCTGCGGGGATGGAGGAGGGGGGATGGGAGGGCGTGGAGGTCGTCGTGGCGGAGGCGGTGGTCGGGTTCGTCGGGACGCATTTTTGGTGGGCGAGGGGCGCGGGGCGGTATGCGGTTGAGGTTGTGGTGGGGGAGGCGGGCGTGGATGCGTAGGTAGGGTTGGGGTGTTGGGGTGGTTGAATGAGAGTGTTTCGAAGAGTGTGGTGTGAATTGTGTAGTTGTGTGCTGTGCTTGTGTGCCGTGATTGTTTAGTTGGGTTGAGTGTTCAGTGGAAGAGAGTGAGGTGCAGGGCGGGAGCGACAGAGCACGAAAGAGGGTGAGCTATTGTAATTCTTAGGCATCACATCTAACGAGACAACGACAACAACTTTTATTTCCCTTAGGCGGTAGTAGGCAGCTTGCCAGCAGGTCAAAAAACGGCAAAAGAAAAACAACCAAACCAACATGTCAAAAACAAACACATCACCCAGCACGGCAAAAACAAAAAAGCCAGGACCCCCATTCAGCACTTACAGGTAAATCTCTTCTGAAGCGAGTCGCCAGAGAGTTTTATACGGGAATCGAACGCTGCAAAGAAGGTCCAGTACTGGACTAGGGTTTTATTATTAAACTACTAGACCAGTGACACTGACTTTTGTGAGTGGACTGGCGGAACGGGTATTTATGCACACCATTAACACACTGTGTGCAAGTGACGTCAGTGTCAAGCCTCTTGTGGTTTTCTTTGGGGAGGCTACTGTCGTTCTGCAGGAAAGCTCACCCGTCAACGTCACTCACGAGGTTCAACGACCACATCTGCCCGTGAATATACAATGTTTAGGGTGCATCAAGAAGGACCCACAACGAGCGCCGCCATCCTTCTCCCCAGCAGCATAATCGCCCCTCCGCGCCCTCTCACTTCGCGGACGTCAGGGTGGCGTTGATTCAGAAGAGAAAGAAGCTCATTGACCCCCGGGTTTCCTGCATAAGTCCTGAGAAGTTGCCAGCTTCACCTCTCACGGTTGGTGTTGGAGAAAGAGACACGGAGAGACACATCATCAGCTAACACTGGCGTTCTGCAATAGCAGCAGTTAACGGCATAGAACATCAACAAGCATACGCGATGCTCACCAGTGGTGCCGCTCTGCGCCTCTTCTGCCTCGGCTCAATCTTGGGTGGAACGAGCCCTCTTCCTATCCCTACCAACTTCCTCCTGCGTCTCCTTTAATTCCTGACGGATCTGCGCCATCTTCTGCGCCACTAGCTCAAACCCTTCGCCGGCCAGTTCAGAAACCAAAGCGTACGAAGCCATACTACCAAGGTCATTCCGAGCCGGAATAGCTCGTTCTCCCACCATTCGACCGATTGGTCTGACGTCTCGGCGAGCGCTTCTAGCATGGCTTAGTCGTGTTAAGACGGACTCCCCGATGCCATTGCCGGAAGCTGCGGGCTCGACTCGTTTACATGTACATGGCGAGCGCCGCCAAACCGGCAGACGTTCCTCTGCAGCTCCCCTCATCAGTTCTTCACAACTCATTCCGCCGCGCACTTCCTCCGACAAAGAAAGCAGAGGCGGCGATAACGGCAACTCAGGAAAGTTGTGCGCTGGAGTGCTGTCATACTCTTGACCCAGCTAGCCGTACAACAAGACGCAGTATAAAGAAAGTGGTTTAGACTTCCAAGTCCAGGTTGCAGCGCGTTAGTCCCGCTTTAGTCCCGCTTTACCGGTTACCGCCCCATGGACAGCAAAGCAGCCCGTACATGCGTGCGTATCTCGCAGTGCAGCGCAGTAGTGGTTGGCGGTAGGGATGCCCAACCACAGACCACTGCCACGCACTCACCAGCCACTGCCTACACCAGCAAGCCTCAGCAAGCCTCGCCTCATCTTGTTTTGACTCACTCGCGAGCACCCCAACCCAGCAGCACACAGACCCACACACAGACCCCCACCCACGACCCATCCCGCGCCCTCGGCCCGCCGCACCATAGCGCGCGGTCCCCGGGCGTCGGGCGCGCATCCGCTCCGTCAAACTTACCGCGCAATCCTTAATGAGCATCCCGGGCTCGGGCCCGTCATTAAGGCAGCGGCATGAATGATCGCGCGCGCCATGTTTAAAGCGTAAAACATCGGGGATTTGGACGTTAAGCACGGGGGGATCAAGTTTAAGCGTTAGCCAGCCGGTCAGCTGGATGCGCGTTTCTGATGCTTATCGCCTGTTTTGGGTTCCGTGGTTGCGGTTTCGCTCCGGCTGGGTGGTGTGGTGTGGTGTGCTGCTGGTCGTGTGCTGCGTGGGTGCGTGACTGTGTCTGTGGCTAGTTGGCTGGCTGCATGGGTGGCTGGTGCTTGGATGCGTGCGTGCGCGTATTCTTAGACACTGTGGCTAGAGTATCGTATATAAGCATTAGGACTACGGCTGTACAGTACTACAGTATATACTCTAATAGCTAGTAAATAGTATGCAGTAAATAGTATGTAGGTAGTCGGTATGTAGGTACGCAGAACGCACAGTCGTACATACGTATATAGCAGTAGAGGTATGCAAGCGTTCTAGGCCGTGAAAGAAAAAGAAGAAAGAACAAGAACCAAAGCAAGAACAGAAACGAAGTGCCGGCCAGCCGGCTACTAAGTCTTGTCTCTATAATGGATGGTGACGCTTGTTTTGGCGCAACGGCTTGCCGCTTGCGTCGTTTCGTTGGGCTGTGGCTGTAGACGGAAGGAAATGAAATGAACTGCGTGCGGTGCGTGGACGCGTGAGGGTTGGAAGGAAAAGACGGAGAGAGAAGTAGAAAGGAGGTGGAGAATAGAAAGAGGGAGGGAGGGATGGCAGCAGAGAGAGAGAGAGAGAGAGAAGCCAGAAAAGCAAAAGACCCAAAAAAAAAGCAGATTAAAGAAGAAAGAGGCAAACCCCAAACCTATGCACGCACGCTCGCTCGCTTGCTCCAATCAA